ACTATCTCGAAGGCTGGAACAGGCTATTTTCGTAGATAAATGCAGGTTAAACAGACAAAGCTTAAACTGTAAAATAGGCCAAACCGAATTTATTGCCATCTTCTTGTTGTCGGGAACAGCTTTGTAAAAGTTCTTTGTACGCGAGTCTGGCGTGGCTCGGAGGTAAGGCCTTCCCAATAAAATGTTTCGTTTGCCATCGCCCGACCGACCCATTTTTCTCGAAAAGTGAAAAGCAAGTACTTTAATTTACAAGCACACGATCTTGTTTTATGAAGAACAAATGGTATGATGTGATGTCCTCGTCTTTAATTAACATCGATACTACGTTTTTTAAAGGCTGTTTAGACATTTGATAGTCCAAAAGACCACGTTTTCGAGTTAACTTTGTAACCAGGCTTTCTTACTTAGCAGCCCGGCCTTCTCTGGAACCCAGACCCCTTCAAGTGTGTTTTTTTTTTTTTTTTGGCGCCAGCCGGATTAGCCGGGCTGGTCCACTTCACCAGACTGGCTTGGCCCATGCCTTGTTTCCTCTTAAAGTTTTCGTTGTGCTTATATGAGGCGGGCTGGCCCACTTACCGTGATCTTGGCTCAAAGCAGCCAGGGTCTCAGCAAGCCGGGCCAGCCTGCCTTCCAATATAAACACAACAAACATTTTATAAGCAAGCAATGAGCCCAGTCAGGTATAGACTGTAACTGGGCCGGCTAACCTCACATAAACAGACCATAAGTAGCCATTTAGAGCGCGAAAAAAAACGCCATCCACAGTATATATTACAGACATTATATAACTCTGATAAACTCACGTGGTTATATTTTACGCACTCTCACTAGGGACACGAAATCGCGGTCCCGAGGTTGACCATAATAACGGGAGTTTATCAGTTGAAGACCTTTTTGCTGTCCTTGTTGTCTCTAGTTTGCTTATTTTTCACAAACGCCTCTGGGCATGCGATTTCTCACCTAAAATATTGGCATCTTACATGTGGCATTTCAAAATGGTATTCAGAAAGGGTGGCGAACGATTGGTCGGTACAAGTTAGCGAATGTTGTGCTCTTATTGGTTTCCTGACCAAGTTTGTTTATTGAAGATGGCTGTAAAATGGCCTGTTTGTTTTTGTTTGTTTGCTTGTCACCCTTTTTCAGACTTTGACTTCTCCTCGGCTTAAAATAATGTAGGTTCACAATCCGATATTTCATCGGTCCCTGCCGATGAAATTTTTTTAAGATAATCCTTTGACAATATCTCCGAGGAACAAGCAAAACAAACCTGATGATCAAATGAAAAACTGTGATTGGCCACAAAAACATTTTTCTTACCAATCAGAAACCAATCAAACTGTTTCGAGACTGTTTCAATGGGTAACTGGGATTTTTGCTCAGAGGTTCTCTCGTTTGTCTCCCCGGCCCGGCGTTCTTGAGATAACTTCGCTAATGAATATCCTGCCGTCCAGTTAGCTATCCCTGGGTCTACTACTTTCTACTGATTCCTCGTTTGAAAAAAATTTATTTTCTTATAATACGATGCATCATGTATCAGACAATTGCATTTCCCATGTTTCAATATTATCATCTTAAGTTAACTCATTCTTTACTCTCTATGGTTAATATATAAAGATTCTTTAAATGTTTGTTACTTAGGAGTCTACGTGTGTATTCACGTAAGGTAGCTCGATGGGGTTTTTCAGGATCAATACCGCCCAAGTTTAAGCATAAACAAGCTGCGTTGCCAATAACAAAGATTTGGAAAAATTACCACCACAGCTGTATTAGATAAAGCTGAAAAATTGTTATCATCAGGGTTACAAAGATATCGGAATTGTCATAGCAACGAAATGACGACATTACCTATTTTACTTGCAGCTGTATTTCTCGGCCCTGGGAACTCTTCCTCGAAAATCGTTCGCGGGAACTTTTTCCTTCAATAGCCGACTCGATGTCCGTAAAGTCTAAGCGAAAACTGGAAGAGCAACTTATCCAGATATTTTGGTATGAATTTTTTATGGTTTTTAGGTGAACAATCTTGATGTTCGGCCGTTATCTGCAGACAATGAAACGTTTTTCAAATGTTATTTCACCTCATAGTAGCTTCAATCTTTTTAAAAACGTGTGTGAAAGATCATGGACTCCGAAATAGCTCTAGCCGATTGCTACAAAGAAGGATTTGATTAGTATATATCGAGGCGCTCTTGTCGTCGGTTTTGCAGACATTTTGGTCTACTAAAACCGCCACATAGATTTTTTTAAAAAATTGAGATTCTCGGGATTAACCGAAGTTTTACATGACTTTTGAGTTGTAAGGCAGTAAAATAAGGGATACAATTCGTTTATTTTTATAATAACAAGGAAAACAGGGACGTAGCGTGAGATTTTGAAGGTGTACGCACGCGGGAAGAAAAGTTAGAGTACCCAGGGCGCTCCAAACTAGGGAGTTCTGGGGGAAGTGCTCCCACAGAACATTAGCACGAAGGAAAATATGCAGTAGTTAGTTGTTTATTTTTCCCATCTCCAGTGTTACTGATAAGGTACAGTGTTTACGGAAGAAAGGGCAAAATAGTGACACCATCGAGAGGCATCTACCTCATTCCATGAAATTTTCGCGACACGTTAATTTCTCGAAGTTCGCGATACAAAAAAAATCGCGAAATTAAAGTGACGCGGGCGCGAAAATTAAGAGACTCGCGTGGATGTTGTGGTCAACTGACTCAAGAACAATAATTCATGTACAAGCAAAAACTGCTTGTGGACATTGTGATTGAACTGCTTCGATGTTACTGTTGACATTGAGTCCTGCTGTTTTTGTTTTTGACTTTATTGTTTCTTCGATAAAGTCGTTTTATTTAATTCAAGAACATGTTAAATAACATTGCCAATGAAATGTAAATCGTGGTACTCAAAAACGCGAAATTCTGTCACGGACTGCTTAAAAAAAAACGTTATAGTGGCGTGACAGACGAGAGATTGATTGATTGCAATTCTGCACATAGGACGTTTATGTTTATGACGTTGTAACAGAGTTTGTCCACATATCTTTTTGCAAAAATTTTATATTTTGAGTCACTTTAATTTCCCGTTTTTGAGTACCACGATTTACATTTCATTAGCAATATTTAATAGGGAGTTTAAGCAAAGACGTTTTAAGCGACCACGTCAACCGGAAGTGGAGTTTTTGAACTCTTCGGCCATTTTTTGAACAAATTCTTTGGCAAATTGTCTCTATACGAGTAAAGACAGTTAGCAAAACAAATTTGGTTGCGTCAAGGCATAATAAAAGAGAAAAACGCATCAGTCATCAAGATCTAATGATAATAAACGCTTTCAGGAAATAAAAAAAATTTTCCCAGTTTGCAGCTGCACGCACCGACGAATCAGTGTGTTTATATGGACGCTACGCCCATGAAATATAATTTTTGTATTTCCCCACGTGCAAATCATTTTCTCTAATCACAATTACATATTCGTTATCAGTTCAGAATTTAAATATTAATCAAACGACCCTCGAAAGATTTTCCCTCACTAACACTACCTTCCTTTCAAAATAATCAGACCTACAACATTTTTACATACCAAGACAATTTTGTGTAATTTTAGAAGAATAAACCTAGAATGACAAGGAAAAGGGACGAGATGTTTTGAGTACAGCGTTCGCGGCAGCTGCTCAATAATGCGACGGCAATCGACTCCATAACAAAGGATTCAACTGCGTCGACTCGATTATGTTTTGGCTTTTCTGCTTTCAAGAGTCGCTTCTAACGCTTGTTGTAATTGGTCAAAATCGAGCGTCTGATAGAAAAAATGGACTTTTTAAATAGTTTGTTATTCTTGGCCTCGCTGATATTACTTGACAATGCTTTGTCTGTTCATGTGGAGCCGCGCATTACTCATTGAAGGTAATTCTCGTGAGTGCGTCAGACTTTGATCAAAATTTATTCTCAGTTGGTGTATTGTAGCTTCAGATAGTGGTGAAATTTCGCTGCATGCCATGATATGATCAGCTCGAATTGTTGCCGTCATCCTGGAAAACAATTTAACTTGGATGTTCGTTATTTCGATTTTAATTCCCAACGTTTTTCAGTATCGGGAGCTGAATTCTCTCTTGCCTTTTCTGTAAAATTCTTTGGTTGAAAGTGAAACACCACAACCCAGACATGGTGAGACAATTGTCAAAAATATCCTTTTCCTCAATTCTGAAAAAAGCTAATTTGAAACAACTACTTTATTGTATGACTTTCTTAGTACTTACCAGACTTACTTACATGGTTGTTGTGTACTACAACCCTTTTTTAACTTCAAAGTCACTTCTGGGTAAAATAATATTCAGTACTGTTGTATATTTTTTTCGGCCACATGACTCAAGCGATTTGTGGCAATCCTTTTTGACAGTTCATTCATAAATTCGCAGAATAAATTATGGTAATAATTTCTTTGTTGAATATGCTTGATAAAGCAAATCATTCGATTTTACTAAAAAATACTTGGGTCTTCGCTTGTGTTGTCGTTACAAGGTTACGAGTCTACTCAGTTAAAACTCAAAGTCAGCCGAAAAGGCTTTCGATTTTTACCTGAAATAGTAGAGAAGAAAATAAAGTTGACTATTAACTCCGACAAAGAGGCCGTAAGCACCTGTTGGAATCAAAAGCAGTTTGGGTGAATTTTTACAAAAAATAAGTTGAACAAATATGAAACTTGATCGAGAATTTGAAAAAAAAAATTAAAAATGAATATATCTTGCGTACGTCAGGTATTGATATTTTGTTTTCGTCGAAACCGCAATTCACCACGTCTTATATCTGAATAAAGAATCAAAGAGTGAGCCAAGACTGTAAATACTTTTTGAATTATCATTCTTGTTTGTTTCCTCGGCTTAATGTGTTTTCAAACATATATTTCTTTTACATTTCAAGTGTAGTTGATATTGAAACTTAATACTGCTGATACACTGAGTACTCAAGCCATCTGCTTAAGCTGGAGGAATTGTTCAACTCAAAGAGAAATCAAAGAACATGGCATCTTCTTTATACGAGGTAGGACAACAATCCCAGCTTTAATGCTCCTTTTTTTTAGTTTTATTTATATGTTACTCTTCAAGGTAAAAGGCAATTTAGAGAAAAGGTATGATTGCCGAAAAACAATGTCAGCGTTTTTGATATTAAGTTTAAAAATATGTTCTACATATTGAGACTTTTAAAAACATCAAAACATTCACTTCGCAAAAAAATTCTCATTTAAGTTTTCTTCATGAAGGATTTTCCTTGACGTTCATTTTTCATTCAACGGATATGGCCGCGTTGTCCACTACTCAAAAGTAGCGGTCTTGTCCTCTTGATCTCTTCATGCCCCCGTCAAACAATGGGAAAATTACCTTTCATCACAAGTCAATTCATTAATATTTCTCGCGCTTGCCTTGCCTTTACCTTCACGCTCGTTGTGCTCCTTAATTGACATGGTTACCTTGAAGACTTAACATTTTTTTCTTTGCAGAATATTGAAGATTGGGAGCTGGAGAGGCTATCAGGAGAATTCGAGGACCACTATAACGGGTTCAGTGACAAAATAGATCCTAAAGAACATTCATTTGAAGTAACAAATGAGAATGGTGAAGATTTTGGAAACAGAAATCACTGCAATGGTACAAACGGAATTCACCAAGAGGCCAACGATAGCGCGGTAAATGAAGAGACCAATGATTCTAATGATGAACACGAAGCAAACGAAGAAGGCAATGAAGGCGAAGAAGGAAATATATCTGCACCATATTACGGAAGAACTCTTGTGGCTCCTGAATATATGAGCTTCCAAATTCAAGACCCTGCTGCTGCACCACACAAGGAAGATAACGGGGTGGGGGTTATCGGTGAAGAGGACTGCACGGTCGCCGGTGGTACAGAAAATTTGGGAGGTGAAGAAGAGGAAACGTCTCATTCTTTTGATCAGTTTACTGTTGAAGAAGGCGAGGGCGACTCTTGTGAAGGAGGAGATGGAGAGTGCGGGACAAGTGAAGAAGTCAATCTAAGGGACGAGGACCACGTAGAGGATTCACCACGGGCGGCTCGGTTAGAAGGAGATGATGGAAAAGGAAATAAAGATGATTACAAAGAAATTGCAGATTTGGAAGGAAAAAATGAACAGGAGAGAGATGAAAATGAGCTACACTGTAAAGAGGGGACACTGAGCGAGAATGACGAGGTAGAAAACGTTCATGAAGACGAAGGAGATGAACAAGATGGTGACGAAGATGGTGAACAGGGAGGACATGAAAAAGAAAACGATGAAGACAATAAAGGCAGAACAGATTTGGCTCCAGAAAAGGAACTGAAAACCGATGAAAATGAGGTATATATAGAGGGGCGACCGAGTAAGGATGGATCGTCGGTAGAAGAATTCTGCGAAGACAACGAAGAAGATGGTGAACATGAAATAAATGATGCACAGACAGAGGAGACTGTCGAAACCGAAGAACAAAGTGAAGACGATTCGATAAAACGAAATATTGAAGACAACGAAGTAGACGAAAAACACGACACTGACGAAAATAAAGAACATAGAGAAGAAGAAACCAACAACGAAGACGAAGAGAGTAGTCAAGAGGAAGATGAAAGTGATGAAGAATCTGAAGACGATCGATTCGACCATGAGTATAAGATAACAGAAGATAAAGATGGGGAGGAGGACAACGAAGATAAGTCAGTCAGCGCTAAGGACATGGCGATGAACAGATTGACAAAACTTGAGCATTGTGACTCCCTGAGAGTAAATGTGGCATCGCCAACTCGAGATATAACCAATGTAAGTTCTACTGAATCGCTGAATGAAACTGATGCTGGACACGCTGGAGGTGATGATCCCGACGAACAAGCGGAGAAACTGACTGAGGAGCCAGAAAAAGAACAAGAGGCAACGGTAATGACTTCAAGAGCTGATAATTATTGATGTAGCGTAGGCTCTTTTCTTGAATTTATTACCTCTGACCCAAACCACAAAGAGTAAAAATTGAAATCAAGCTTAGCAAACAAAAAGTCTAGTTGAAAATAACGCGAATTTACTTTTCTAAACAATTGCAAAAAGATAAGTTGTATCCAGGCCGGTTCTGTCTTCAGTGTATCAATTGCGACGTAAATTGATACAAACGTGGAATAAGAGACGTGGAATAATTGATATACAGTGACAAGAGCCATAATATGGCTTGACAGTGATCACTTTCTGACGCAATGGTCTTGGAACGGACTTAATTCGTGCTATGTATCAGACAATCTTCAGTTAACAGTCCACCAACAAATCACCTATTTCCCTTAAATTTCAAGTCATTGAAGTCGTTTACAGTTGCCAACAGTTACTTCTGTCTTTAGTCCGCTTACGAACAAGACTTCCGGTTGGGATCAAACGATAAAATACTTTAGTCTAAAGTCGTAAGTAATGGCTATTCCCTGCCGCCTTTCCAGAAAAAGTATTTAAGCAAGACAGTAATGTTCCTTTATAGATCAATGAACCTCTCGAAGTAAATGACGAGCAGCAATATGACGATGACGGCGAGGAAATTGCAAGCGAGGAGGACAGCGGCAGCAGCGATGACTCAGTGGAAAATGTAAATGAGCCCGCCCAGGATGTAAGAAAGGAAGAAGATAATGGAGACGACAACGAAGAAGACCTGAATCCAGACCTTGAGGAAGAAGTGGCAAAGAATGAAGGAAAAGCTGAAGAAGAGGAAGCTTTCCCAGGTAAGGAAAACAATGGTTCGATCGAAGCCGTTTTAATTGGTAGAGATAAATGGCAAAAGGAATTAAAGATGAAATTGAAGATGCGAATTCAGACTGCAAGAAGATACTTCCACCGAAAACGAAAAGCTGTTGGTGATTGTTTTAAACTAAATTGTACACTTTGGTCAATTTCTTTTCAAACGTTAGCATTCGATTCACATATCCAGAACGTAAAGAATGGCGATTGGTCCATCAAAAATCTAGACAGGATCACGAAAACGAATAGTTGCGGTACCAGCGATTTTGCACAAAATGGTATCCGATGTTTAAGCGAAGCAAACTTTTGCAGATCTCCATACTGTCACTATTGACACATACTAAAATTGTGACTTTATCACATGATATATGATCCAATAATTCTTCTCCTATCTTTTCTTAATTCCTTGACTTGCCCATCAAGTGCACCGAAAGCCCCAAGGGCGTGAAGACGAGGCAGACCTTACTGGAAAGGTGAAGGAACTGGGTAGGATCTTTGAGGGAGGCGGCCCTGTTTATTCTAAAGGCGTCAAGAAAGATTTGGACGCAGGTATAGTAATTGACGAATAAATTTAAAGTTATTAAGGTAGATATTAATTAGCAAGAGAGGAGCTTTATCCTCTCGTGATATGAGTAATAAGTCCACACCGTAATTTTTAGGGAGTTATTATAACTCCAAAAATGGAGTAAAAATTTTAGGTACAGGATAACCCCTTTTTTGGGGTTATTTTAACTCCTAATTTAACTCCGAATTTGGGGTCATTTTTACTCCTGAAAAAGAGTTCTTTTTACTCCCAGTCTTGGAGTTAAAATTACTCCGAAATGGGGTTACTTGTACTCCTTACAGGGTTTTTTACTCTTTTGGAGTTAATTTAACTCTGAAAGTGAGTAAAAATTTTAGGTACAGGATAACTCCTTTTTTGGGGTTATTTTAACTCCTCAATATCTGGGGTCACTTTTACTCCTGAAAAAGAGTTCTTTAAACTCCTTTTTGGAGTTAAAATAACTCCACGAAAAATAACTCCACTGTAAGGAGTTAAATTAGCCCCACTAGAGGAGTTATTATAACTCCCTGAAAATTACAGTGCAACAAACAAACAAAAAAAACCTTTTATTTATACATATTAAACCTAAATACAGTTGGCCTGCAAATTAGCAAAGAAACGCTATTCGAGGCAGGGAAAAGTAATTTATTGAAAAAAAATGAAAATGAGTCAATATATTAATACAGAAGCTGATCTGTTCTGAGCTTGTTCTGGGTGTCTACGGAGTCGGCTACGTTCTGGAAAGTAAACATTACGTTGAAACCAAGTTCTGGGTGATCCACTACTCTTTGATATCGTTTGCTTTAAAAATTCAGATCGTTCCTGTAGCCAGTGAGTTTAGGGACGCGAGGTTTTAAAGATTGAAGTGCTTTCTCAGGCCAAAAACTTTTCCCAGTATAATATATGTGAGAATACAATTATCAAAATAGTATTTCCTTTTCTGGACGGTGACTTTACATTGAACTTAAATTAACCCATCCAATTGCAATTTAATTACCAGAAAAATGTTTTTGTTTGTCTTAGACACCCATTTTTCTCTAAATCTCTCCTGTCGTTTTGCGAAACGTACTGAAATATTTCTGCTCCCGTTGTATAATTGTACAGTGGCCCATGCATAATAGTGTTTCTTTCCCACATATGGTTTATAAGAATAATTGAGTTCAAAGCTTGAAAGACGAGGTAACCTATCGTAAGTGATTTTTAGCATTTCCCAAGAAACACTTAACGAACTATCAGTAATTCAAACTTCAAAAATTCATCGATCCATTGTTTTGTTCAATTAATAACTGCATGCGTAGGTTATCAGTTTCCATGTTCACTCATTGTTTTCTCTTTTGAAGCTGATGGTTCCCCTGTGAGTGTACGCAAGTTCAAGGCAATATTTGAAACACATCAATATTCCGCGGCGGAGAGGAATCAAGAGCCAGGTACTTAGTACATCACTTTACGTTTTGATAAAGTAATGTCAGTCTTGCTTAGAGGTTTACTTCACGTGTTATGGTTGGGCTAGACGTGCTTGGACATATTGATTTTTCCACTTTATTTTTAGGACGAAAAGAAGAATCATCCAGTCCTCCACGTGGCATTGTCAAAAATTTACGAGGACTTTTTGAGAACCCTCAGAGTTTTGAGACAAGAAATGGATGAAATAAACGAGGTAACATATAACACAGAAAAATATAGAAAAACTGTAACGGGAATAATTCCCGCGTAATGCCTCTTTCGATCTCAGGTTCACGTAGCCTTTAGTTGAAGACAACGAAACAGAAAGGTAAACAAACAAAGGTAATAACGGGGCGATTTCGTCATCAAGGTCATCAGCTGACCAAGGAAGTGATTCAACCATGAAGAGGGTACAGGACAAAGTAGTACGTGGGAAAAATAGAAATAACATTTAGTTACAGGACAATATCATAGTTTTGCCAATCGCGTTTACCAAAAGTCAAAACCAGCTGGCCAAATCTGATCGCTTTGCAAAAAAAAGCTTTTTTGGCGAGTTTTCTCTTAAAACACTGCCTTGCGTACTATTTAGGAATAGACTAATCTCGCTGAGCTTTCTTGCTTAAATTATATTTACGACTAGCACTGGTCTGATCGGCCAGTTCCCACCAACAGTAAGCGCCCTGACTACGATCGATCGATTGCTTCGCGAGGATATGTTTAATGTATGGACATAATTCAATTTATCCTGTCGTTTATTATCTTTTATTATTTTTATTATTTTTTCAGCTAACCCTCCCTTGTAAAACAACGAAGGTTGTGAAAAAGGACCCACATTATGCGGCGTCACTCCAGAGACATAGTTAAAATGGTCACAGATTTAAAACGACTGTGCTATACTGTAACTTTTAAAGCCTGTTTAAAATACATTGTTACCCGTTATCAACAAAAGGGTCTTGCCCTTATATAAAATGACGACCCTATCTATAGTATCGTCAAGAACACGTCTCGGCTTAAGTTTGGGATCAAATTCCTTAAAAAATGAGCAGGTATAGAAACCGAGTCGGTTTACACTTATCAAACTATAGAATGCTTTGCAGTTGACAAATTTGCCAAAAAAATACTGTCAAACCTTTGTACAACGGTCACCCTTGGGAAATGGCAAGGAGACCATTATATACAGGGTCACCACTACTATACCGGTCAATATTGCAGAATATAAGGCAACCGAAAATTTAGGGAAGTTGTCCGGTGACTGTAATATACAGGGTGACCGCTATATACAGGTTTAACTGTAGATATACCTGATTCAATAAAGGTTGCTTTGGGCATTGGATAATTGCGCTCTGCAAACTATTGTTTGGCGGTCACTCAAGCGAATCATTGCAGTTAGTTCCGTATGCCCAATTGCCAATGACCAATTGCCAAAGCAACATTTATTGATTTAGGGTATATAACAAACGCTTGTTCGCCTTCGGCTTTAGAAATTAAAGCAACATGTTTTGGAAAACAAGTTACTAAGGTTAAGGTTAAGAGCGCCCACCACCACTTCTCCCAGCCATGCCATGATGCTTTTGATGGACGGTTACCATCAAATAGGGCCATCACCGGTGGCAACGTGTCAATGCTAATAATGTTCAGGTTAGCCTACAAGCAAGCACATTTGACGATCTGTGAAATCCTTCAAGGTGGGCGTTCTTGGAACGATCTGAAATTAGTTGTAGCTTCTTTGGGCGGAAGGTCCGTAGCATTGAATTACTGTTAAGATTTTATTAAAATTCGATACGTCAAGTTTATTATCGAAATACGTCATATGCTGTGTTTATCACTGCTCTGAGTGTCTCTCTTTGAACCAGGTTACGATGTCCTATGCTGTTTATCCGTTAAGTGAAATTTTAGACAGAAATGTGCTAACGAAAGTACAGAATTTTGAAAATCAATCGAAAAATATAACCTTATCACCAGCTTTTTAAGCAGAGAAGAGTGAATAATTATGGTTCTCGCCTTAACGTTTTTGAAGCTACTTCGTTCCCAGGGTTCTCCCCTACCCGTCCCTACGGAGCGAGAGAGAGGGTGGGAACGAGGTTGTTTTTGAAGTTGTCACCCATCTTACCTAGAAAATTCAACGAGGCAGGGGCCGCTTTCTTAAAAGGGTTACACTCGGTACTTAAAGAGCTTACGTCACCCGTTCAGTCAGGAGTGGAATTTACGTCGGTTGTGCGTGATTGGCCGATCTCAAACTTTCGATGTTACTCCCGACTAAAAAGGAGGTAAGAGTAAGCTGGTCGTAAGGTGATCTTAATCGAGTTCGTTTACCACGTTTTACCCTCGACATACGACATGCAATATCTCAACCTGGCCGAACTGCTGGCACTTGACCTTTCTATTGTGTTTGATACTCCTACCGCGCATGCAGCATCCCTGCCATTAATTTAATAGTTTTTCCCCTCTCGATTTTCGACAAATAGCGGAAATAAAACTGGGTCCCGTTATATAGAACTAAAAAGACCTCAAACTCAGTTGAAGTGTATTCTTTAAAACAAAGCCGGTCTCTAACAAATGTCCACTACTCTCCGACAAAACTGGTATGCCAGTATTTCGCTGACCCACAGCTAACAACAACTTATTAAGTAACCGTAGGCAATAAAATTCAAGTTAAATAGAAGCGGTTAAAAAGTCCAAATTACATTAAACCACACTGTTCTTCCCAGGTATATCATTTGTGAAAGAACATTTTTTTGTATGAAGCGGACATCTCTGTTATTAAGCGCTGAAAGGATCCTATCATTTTAGAGGAGCACATTTTCCTGAATGAGTTGTGCAGATGGACATGTTCACACAATCCCCAAGTCTTATAGCTATCTAACCCTTAAGGGTCAGTTTGTAACAGATGGTTGTACATTCCATATCTTTCTGAGTTCTCTTGGTAAGTCTTGGTAGAGTATCTACAGCTGTTACAGTGTTTTTGCCCCCTTTGCTCAAACTGCAGTATCATCCCGTCATCCACGACTGCTACATATCACTAAATAATGTTATTGCCTGGGAAGTTGTTTCATATCTTGAACACGAAACATGAAGAATAGCAGCCTTGAAACTTTGTTCATTATGTATTCCTTGACTGGCAACAACAACTATTTCGAGCTCAGCTCATGTTTCACTCCATTGCATCCACCATCTTGACTGCTACACGGTAACCAGCAACAAGCACAAACAACCAGGCCATCAAGACAAGGCTTGCAACAAACTGTAATCAAATAAAAGCATAAAATTTGACTACACTTACAATCATGATACATACATGATACATGATAAGATTTCTAAAAACACAGTTCATTCAAGGAATAAAATGCCAAAGTAAATAGTAGGTAAGGAATGATTTTGAACTAACAGCTCTAGCTGTCCACTCTAGCTGCAGTAGTCAAACTCCTGCTAACAGCCACCACTATACCTCTATACAATGGCTACGCAATTGTCGTTACAATGGCTACAAAATGATTGTTGTTCTGGCCACCAGCCCATACAGTATAATTTTATTGGGGAGCAAGAATATGCAGTCTGTGGTGGAAATATCAGTCATTCGCAATTCCTGCATAACTCTGTCTATTGCCAACATGTGGGTTTAGGGACCGGTCGTTATTTATTGCCTGGGGGAGGAGAGATTTGGGGCTAAAAAAAGATGAAATTTAGCCGATTCCCGCTTTGAATGTTACTTCAGTGAAGTGATCCTCCCTAATAACATTTGATGACTTTCACGATCCCCTCCATGTCTTCATTTTCCAAACAACTTTGAGTGGTTCCCCCTCTGAATCCTTCGAAAGTTTTCAGTGACCCCCCCTACTGGGTTCTCAGTTACGACTGATCCACCCTTTTGTTCTCCTAAAAATCAAGTGATGCCCCCAAAATCCTCCAACTGGTCCCTTAGTTTTTGAAATCCCTTATTAAGCTCTCACAAATAAGTCCATTTTGTCCCCTTAATTGACAGTTGTATTGTAGTACTTTGAATGCTATTTTAAGGCTCTACCTTGAATGTAGAGGAAATATAAAACAGCTTTTCAGGAGTGGTAATTATTGGTTTATTTTTTTTTAAAAAGGGCCCCTGATGTTCATAATAATAATAATAATAATAATAATAATAATAATAATAATAATAATAATAATAATAATAATAATAGTAATAATAATACCCTTTTATTCAGAAACTTTCATCACATCACTGTGGTTTTCAGAAAGGTCCTATAAACTAATATTAGAAGTACTAAATTAGACCATAACATAGTAAAATGAAAGATACCTAAAAATAAAAAAATATATATAAACTAAATTAAAATTGATAAAAAGCTACAATTGAAATACAAAAAGCATTAAATAAAAAAGCTGCTAAAAATGCTATATGTATGACTGTGGTTAAGTCTGTTGTTTTTCTTAATCCTTAGCACAAGTATGCATTTCTTTGGAAGTCACCAGGGTTTCAAGGTTTTTTTTTTAATAAGTATTATTTCTGTCTTGTCCCCTGGGTGGGGTATTTGTTAATTTCTTTTGGGTTACTCATACAATGGAGGGGGAGAGGCACGTGCGAGGGGTGGGCATGCTTGTTATTGACTAAGCTACAATGTATGCACACAATAATAATATCATTATCTTTTTACCTTTAAAATAGATTGCCAGGCAAAACATAAAATTATGGCTCAGATAAATCCAAGCAAAACCCCTACCCAGCCATTTGCCATCATTTTTAGTGTGCCTTTAATCAAGAATATGATTGACAGAATTTTAGCTTGATCAAGTAATTCACAATTTTCATCAAACTCCTTTTACTTTCTACAATGTAGCTAGAAGCCCTGCCCAGAATTCTATAATTTTCTGCGTCTCTTTGCAATCTTAGGTGTTTTATTTTCTTCAATTGATCTTCAATGTATGTGTACACAATCAAGGATTTGGCAGTTCACATTTCACGGAGCACTTCAATCACAATTCACGGGAACAAAAAATGGTCGAACACGGCCACACGAAAATAACCTTGCCCCTCCACCCCCCCTCTATAGTTGCACTTTTCGACTCTGCAATCAATGAATACAGTGAAACCTCTATTAAGGGGACCCCCAATTAAGCGGACACCCTCTATTAAGTGGACACTAAGCCGGTCCTGAAATGAACGTCTGATATTTCCCTTTATAATGAACCACTATTCAGCTAGCTTGCATGGCAGACGTTTGGAAGGGAAGGGGAAGGGAATTAGGGTGCAAGACCGTGTGTGAGAAAGGAGGGAGGAGGGGGACGCCTGCAAGCAATCCATTGTTTTTGCCATCCTGCCTACTAATTAAAAAATAACAAAAATAAGGCAGCTGTGAATGACTAGCTGTCAAATAAGTCTTGGTGCGATGCACATATTCTAGTCATACTTCTTACACTGTTTTTCTTTTGTTTTCCTAAAACAAGAAATCTAAAGTGAAGGTACTATAAAAAAAGTTCAAATGCAGTCGTCCATTGAAGGAATCTTCGCAACTTTCAATGCGATGTTTGTCTGAGAAAAATTAAAACAATTTGCCATCAGTCTTTGAATTTCTATCAGGACGAATTAGGGATCTAGTGGGACACACAAAAGAACGCTGGTAGCAGGAAAAGAAGAGCTGAACTTCAAAGCTCTGCAAGAAGTCATCAATTCAAGTTCCTGGTGGTTTTATAACCAGCAACAAGAAGTCGTCAACCAAAAATCACTGACGGTTATAAATTGCTTTGTCTTCGACAACCTTGCCGTTGATAACGCGGGTCAAAAAGCGGATAACAAGCACACAGGCAGCATGATTTTTCCTTCCTTTCTTCTAGTGAGTAAAACAGACAAGCCTACAAGCCATTGATACTTTTCAAAACCATGCAGTCAGTAAAACTCATCTGCTGACAATGCTTTTCCTTCATATGGTTCTCCTTTTCTTTATTCTCCTTTCAAGCTGAAATTTTTGATGCCTTCTAATGATGAATTCCCGTAGACAAATTTCATCGTGCTTCACTAACAACATACGTTTAGTCACTCAAATGGTGTGATGTTGTTTTCGACCAATCGAAAAAAGGAATTAAGATGAAGATTAACATGTAATTAATTCTGACCAATCACTATTTTCACGCTCAGAATCTGAGCATAGAAAATGGAGAAAACAATGGTCTCCTTGCAGGCATTCCTTTCCTTTCTCCCTCGTGCACCACTGCGCGCTCTTGCAGGCCCAAATTACCCCTTCCCCTTTTAACACCTGCCACGCAGGCTACTATTCAGCGGACACCTCTATTAAGCAGACGCGGACACTAAAATAAGTTATATTTGGCTAATTTCTATTGTTAAAAACCTCTATGAAGCGGACACCAGACTGAATTGACAATAGTAGTATTGGATTACGTCCTTGAAATACACACTGAAGTCAGTTAGTGTTTTTGCATTTACAAACAAAAAAGTTGGTAATGAAAGGTAAAAATGAACTTGAACTCTGTATAGCTTCTTTAACCCATTCGCCCCTGAACCGCCTGTAACCGCCCATGCGGATCCACATCCTTTCTACCCTTTGTGACGTCATCAGTGTTAATGTGTGATTCCAGAAAATATCCATACCCCTTCCACGGATGGTTCTTCCGATTAGACCCCTCCACCCCCTTGGAATTTCCATTCCAGAGGGGTCATGTATAACCCCCCCACCCCCTCAGGAATTTTCTATTTTCCTTTTCATGGTCTTAATTTGCCATATTTAAAGATAATTGACCGTGTACCACTTAAAATTAACTGTTCTCATCTTAAGACACATTTTTTTTTTATAATCTTTGACCTATTTGTAATCTTTTACAAGGCTTATGTATTTCTTATGCAGGTAGAGCACGCTTGATAGACTATGAGCGGTCTCTCTTTTTTATTAGTCCGTCCAGTGAAATGCGCGAGGCACAAGAACAGAGATTAATAAGTTTATGTCATCTCAAGAAAACATTTAGAACATAACTTTAAATCTGAATTATTCATTGAAATAAAACTATGTGAACATTTTCAAATTTCAAAACAAATCTACCTACCGACAAAGTTAGACAAAGTTGATGTCTAGTACTGTAATTAAGTTTCAATATGTACACGTCTTGTCTAAGACAGTTTCATCTCAAATGCAACATTTACAGCATAACTTCAAAGTTAACTATTGATTTAACATTAAACTATGTGAAGATATTCGAATTTCAAAATGGATCTCCTAGAAAACCAACTTACAACAAAGTTTATCGTTTGTTTGGCCTTGGGTCCTAAAGTCACCACAAAGTCGATCTCTCAATGTTTGTAATTAAGTTTAACTTTGAATGAATTACACTTGCAGTTGAACAAATTTCAGGAATTACAAAATAACCTATTTGGGTTATAAAAGAACAAAATATGCAAACATTCATTTTGCGTCCCGTATTTGCATTGATTCATGTTCAGAAATGAACATCGGTGAAACATGATCTATTTTGTTGCCTAGCACACGATCGAAAGTCTCCTCCACAAAGAAGGAACAGATCGTTTGTTCTCGATTAGCACAAGTTTTTGTCAGCCTATCTGCAGTCGAGTCCACAATCTAGAGACATGTTCGACATATTAAAGCAATTATTATTAATCGATGTGCTAGAATTTATTCCCGGAGAAGTAACCTGTTGAGAATTGTGATCGATTTGCCCGAAGGACGATATTTATTTAAAGACTTCGTCAAAGTCAAGCGTTTGACGGACCGACCGTTAGCTGTTTAGAATCAACCGTTAGATCATAAGAGCAATCCGTTAGAGCGTTAGAACAGATCATTAGAGCATGTGGACAAATCGTTAGAGCGGAGCTGATAGCGAACTCCAAGCAAAGAAGACGATCAACGTTTGAGACAAACATCTTGAAGTTTTTTTACTCGAGAGGGCATCTACTTTAAATTTTTGCTTCGCTACAAATCAAAATAATCCACATATACTTAAGTATGCCTAATATGATCGACTGCGTCTTTTACAACCCTGTGGAAAATTATTCTTGTGGGCACCCCCTGTACCCCTCGGAAATTTCTACCCTTTAGCCCCCCCAACCCCTAGGAATTTCCATTGACCATCCGTGGGGGGTATGGATATTTTCTGGAATCACACAATGGTCAAGGACAACTTTGTCTACTAACTTGTGCAGAGGGAAGAGATCTTTCAAACCATACCAGAATGAGCACAATTCAGTCAAGGACACCGGAGAAAGAAGCAAAAAACCATGTGACATTGACCTAAAAATCTCCATGAAAATCTTGTTCCATTGCTCACCTACCTTTCCTTTCACCTAATCCTAAGATCCTAAAAGCTTTCCTAAAAACTCTTCCCACCAAAACGAAGCCTACTAAATGCCCAGCAAGAGAAAAAAAAATGAGGCAAGAAAAGCGAAAAAAGAGGGGAGGAGAGAAAGCAAAAAGTAAAGTCAAGACTGCTGTGTCACTTTTAAAACCAAAAACTATCTCGAAATTTTGCTTTCTGCTCGCGCATGCCCAAACTTTGCAAGCTGATATTTTGCATCTGGATCAGAAGGCCGCGAAGTGTACGACCTGTAAACCAGTTTGTGGTAAGTTTTAACTCTTTATAGCACGACAGTGACCAGAAATAAACCGCTCGACTAGCTTCAAAACGCGTTTTTCAGCAAAATCTGCCGGAGCGAATGGGTTAACAACATGCAACTTTATCACAGTACAGAGTAACCGTTGAATGTTGATCGTTAACAAGCATTGTACAATTTTTACAACCCTTATGAAGCGAACACTTGGGAAGGTCCTGAAGGTGTCTGCTTAATAGAGGTTTCACTGCATTTATTTCTGCTACATTGTGGATTGAGGAGGGGACATTTGCAGAGATTCCAACCCTCCTGATTTGATCGGGAGTCTCCGATTTGATGTCGTCCCGATTTTTACCAAATTCTCCCGATTTATTATAAAATTCTGAAAACTAGGGCTAATTTGGCAGCTCATTATGGTATGTTATAACTCCGGAATGATGTCAAAATTCAGGAAATGGAACTTGAGAGAACCTAAATTTGCAAAATTTCTGGGGGAGCATGCCCCAGTCCCAAGGCGCTAATAAAATTTTCCATCACATGGGGTTGGAATCTCTGCATTTGCCCTCCTTTGCCTGGGGGGGGGCAGGTGGGAATTTCGCCACAAGGCATAAAAACATTGCTTATGGTTGGGGGCGCTGGACGCAGTTGGGTTAAACTGATGCAGCATACAAGTGTAACTGCTAATTTAGTTCTAAGGAGTTACGCAGAAAGACTCATATGATTTCATTGTCACTGTAACTTACCAAAGCAGGAAGAAACTCTTTCACCTTCAGTCCCATTGAGATAGTTAGGCTGAACTTTACTTTTTCTGGCTGAACTTACTTAATCTCTACGGTTTTAAGTGACAACGCGGTACATTGTAGACGTGGTCAGTTGAAAACCGACGGTAGGTACCTCATATATGGTTATTATAGTGTACCGAGATATAGTGTGTCTTGGTTTGGCCTGGCCTAGCCTGCGTGGCAGGCGTTTGAAAGGGAGTTTTGGGAAAGGGAGTTTTAGGCGCGAGAGAAACGCGAGGGGCGCCCCTCGCGTTTCTCTCGCGCACAAAACTCCCTTTCCCTTCCCTTTCAAACGCCTGCCACGCAGGCTAGGCCTGGCCATGATCCAGATTTCAAGTACATTATACTTATATAGGTCATTATAGTCGCTTAATGACTTGCTTGTTTCTTTTGAATTCAGAAACCTAATCGGGTGCGAGAGGAGAGAGGAGAGGGATTTGAGTGAAAACGCCAGCAGCTATGCAGAACGCCGTAGGGTTAATATACCTGCCAAGTGTCACGCCTGCGGATCGAAAACTTGGATCTCACGCCTACTCACGCCTGTGTTCCGATTTGTCACGCCGGGTAGAAAAGTTTGAGCAATTACAGCATTAACTGACATATTTTGAAAAATATATTAATTATTTAAACAAACCAGAACCAAGGAGAGAGAAGAAAAGTCTATGTGGATGATCGACTTTCTCCGAATTCTCTTTTTTCAGTAGGGAAGTCAATGTTCCTTTGTGTTCCCGTGTTCGTGTTAGACGGAACTCTTCGTACTGATCTACGGATATTATCCGACCCCTACGAAAAATCTTGGCACTCTTACTATAAAAAATGTCACGCCTAGAAGCGGTCCTTTTCCGTTCGAGGGTCTCAGTATCTTTTATCTTTTCCGCCCTTTCCCGTGTCCCGGCTCGTTCACATTTCAGTCATTTGAACTTTAGTCTTTCCACCCGCGCCCAGCCACCTCCCAACCCCCCCCCGGGCTGATCCCCGGGCATTACCTTTTTTCGCCTTGGATATGTCGGTACACTATAATTAACATATATGAGGTACCTGCTTTATGTTGTTTGTTACCAGTCTCTCCAGTTCGTTGCCCCTCCGCTTAGCAACGCTTGCAGAGACGATGGTGGAACCGTGGTGACCGTTCAGACGGTGAATTAGCCGTCTATACGTCGAAATAGAATCAAAAGTATCACTTCTTTAGATTCAGAAAAGCTGCAGTCATGAACAGGAGTGAAGCGAGAAAAAAACCTCCCATGTAAGTTAAATTTTAGCCCATTATAACTTTAATAGTTTACAACTATTAGTTTCCTAGCCACCAGTGTGTAGCCACTCAGTCAGAACTGAAGGGAAACTGATGTATACGAGAATCATTAGAAGTAAGCTTAAATGTTAAAGGACAGTACAAACAATACAATTTAAAGTCTGCTAGCTGTTTGCACTGTAACCCTGATAGGAACTGCCATTTACATCATACTAATGACTAATAATTTATTTGCAGCTACATTTCTACAAATCAATGTTCTAGTTAGAGCTACTATAGACCTATTCACTGTTTTTTCAACTTTTGACATGCACAAGTTAGGGAAAATCTGTCAACACCATTGAAAAGAGCACCTTAAGATTAGTAAAATTGCTATATTTGAAAGTGATACGTCTAAAGCTTCCCAAGTTGTGAAAAATTAATTTTACAGAAATTTGTATAGTGGGGGGCAAGTTTGGGCCCCCCACCATACAAATTTCTGTAAAATTATGCAACCTTGAGGAGCTATATCTTCATTAGTTTTCAATAAATCCCCTTCAAACCAGTGCCGAAAGTTGAAAAAAAAAAAAAAAACGGGAAAAGGTCTTTTAATGGAATCTCAGACTTAAAAATATGTTTTTGATTATAATTTGCATTATGGCAAGTAGTACAGCTTACTAGAACCTAATGTAGTCAGCAAAATAAAATAGTGGGAATGGGAATGAGTGAAGTTAGTCCAAGGTGATCAATATGTACCTTACAAGTGATTGAATGAAATTGGATGACTGACTGTGTAAGCAAGAGTCCATGAGAATGATTATAGACTGAACTAGCCAATTTGTGATAACATAAGATCTTTTGAGTGTCTTTTTTTGCTATACTTGGCATTAGTGCCGCTTTACAACAAAATTTAGTCATAAATATGGTTTGCCTGCAACTGCCAAAATAATTAATTATGAACATCTTACTGTGATGTCCTAGATTATCTGAATAATGTCTGACACACTAGACAGCTTCCAGTTGTGTCACAGACAGGAATGGGAGCTGTTGATTGTTTTTCAAGACACCTATTCACGATTCATTGTTGGTATACTGATATATTACCATTCACCTTCACCTGTATTATTATATGGCTGAGTCTGTTTTTGCCATGCAATTGGTCAATTTGCGGTCCGTAACTTGCTATACGGACCAAAATTTTTAAAGAAAATGCTCATTTCAGAGCTCTAAATCTCTTTACCGCGGAAAAAGGTTTAAATAGAGCTATATATAGGACGCCTGTCAACCTTGAGGACTTGGATGCTGACTTTGGCCTTCAACATTTTAAACTGTGTTTATTTGTGAATGAAGGCGATGAAGAAACTAACTCGTAATCTTATCGACGAGGATTCTAGTCAGTGTTTGAAAATTTTATCGTAGTACACAGTTAAGAAGACGAAAATCGACTGGCGGAGATTCGAGTTGTTTTGCCTAAGAGAAAATGAGTAATTCCTTCAACAAATATGATAACAAACATACCTGCACCCGATCATCTTGACAAGCTTCTTTGCCCTTTGCAGTGTTTTTTCAAAGACCGACGATAGAAAGATGGAAGCGAGTTCGAGCCAGACACAATAATGTCCAGTTTTCAAAAGACTCCAGCGTCACAGACAGTGTCCGGTTTCCAGAATACTCGGACGTTACATTAAAGAGCTAAAACTTACAGTGCTCTTAGTTTTGACCAAATAAACTTTTTCAACAAAGTGAATTTGTTTTTACTTTCTCGGAAAGCCTTAATATGTGCTATTGTTTTCGTGCGCCAATTAAAACTTTCTTTTTTGACGCCTGTCAAATCATGACTGTCAAATCGTGCATCCTGCACTTGTTTCCGGTCCCCCAAACAGGAAGAAGCCATATAATAAACATCTTATTAGCCTCGTTTTTTCGGTCCGTACTGTAAATTATGGATCCTCGTTTTTTTCCAAATCGATGGAAAAAAACTCGGTCCGTAATTTACAGTACAGACCAAAAACTCGGCTAATAAGAGGTATGTATAGGCCACCAATAAGGTTAATCACAGGATACATTGATGCTTTTTTGGAACCCTTAGCTCCCATGAGTAGCTTATTTGCTTTGTATGAGCTGCTTATTGGCTCAACCAACTTTGGCACAAAATAATATATTGTCAGTTTGAACCTTTAAAAAAGTATTCTACACTCAGACACAGTAACATATAGATTTAGCCAGGGCTACTAGCAGTAGCTGTTGGCTAGGAAGTGCAGGCAAAACCACTTTCATATGAATGTGAATGCCCTTTAGTTAAAGTGTCAAAAAAAGCATGATAACTGGATTGAACAACACAGTAAACAAGACTCATATGTAATTCAACCATTTTATTCGCAATTTCTTAGATAAATTTAGCCTGCGAAGACTGTGGATAGTAATTAAGGAGAAAGGATCAACGTTTGTTTTCGCCAGCAAAGATACATTGAAACAGTAATGCATGTATACAGACATGCATGAAGTCTTATAATATTACTCAATTGAATATTTCAATCTGTGTTCAATGACCAAACGCCGTTGATACGAAATAGAAAAATTACCACTGGAGTTTAAAGCTTATTGAGGCTTTCGGATGACAAGTGATGTACGTGCTGGAGAACATATAAAAGTATAAACACCATGCACTTTTTTCACACTGTAGTGAAACCTGAATAAACGTAACTGACATCAATTTCCAGAGACTAGCACTCGTATCTTACCAAAAACTTGTCCTGCACTCAGCTGAAATAAGGCTCTAATTTCATTTTCCCATGTACATGTAAATAGATTCCATTCTGGCAAGCGAATTGAAAAGTCTCCCATTTAGTATGTTACTTGGTGTACCTGAATTATGAGTGCTTGCGAATAGAATGTAATAATGATTGTTGCATCACTTGCATTTGCATTCATGTGATTTCCGTGATTTTACTAGATACTAGATGGACCTTAAACTCATCACCAGGGCCCTCGATCGAGGCCACACTTTGAATGCATATTAGTCTGTACAACACTGGAATCTGAACAAATCAAGAAAAATCTCGCTATACAGTTAATAAAGTGCTGCTGACCAAGAATAGATGACAGGCTCCTTTTTGTCGCCTGCAAAAAGCGTAGCTCTAGTTAATAAATGTATAATTATTCAAACAAATTTATAAACTTGTAATCCACAAATCGGTTATCGGTAGCTGAGGAGATCCAAATGACGTTTAAGAGTAAGGTCTGGGTGACTAAGAGAGAAAATAATTTGCAAACAGTACAAGAATGAAGCAACATCTAAAATCTTCCATCGAGTTAATAATCTTATTTGTACACCTAATAAATAGAAATCGCCTTTGGCCACAGCAGATTTGGAGTGGAAAACAAATCTTGCAGGATTTCCTGCCATGAAAAGAGCATGTTGCACAAAATAACCTCGCACGATTTATAACATACTCCTTCCCCCCAATCGGCTGACACCTGATTCCCTTCCCTCCCCTGCAAAGAGTGTACGGGTGTATGCTACGTCATTACCAAATTTTCTTGGATAAATAGTTTAGTTTAATTGTCTTACCCATGGTGCTCTGCTGCGCGTGCAAAGCACGTGCAAGAGCTCTGCTATAAATGGATATTTACAGTTGAAGAAGTCACTACTGTAAATGCTCCAATGACAGTGGCTCCTAAACGAGTCCTCTCCTTTGAACTTGTACTATAGATCACCCTTGAAATCTAAATCCCAATCTTGCCTGCCCCAAAAAGAAGAAAGTGAGGAACTTTATAAATAAAATTGTGCACACTGTATCTGATGTTTCGATTGGGTTGGTGAAAGCAAAGGGTAAAGCATTGAACTACACAGCCACTCAAAATTGTGTCTCTGCACCATATGATGCTACATTTTCTTATTTTAATATTGCAGTTTTGTTTACTTGAAATTGAAGCAATGTCATATGTTTAGAGGCTGAAAATTGAAGGACAAATTAATTTGTAAGCCCTGCGTGCACTACCCTATGAAGTAAAAATGAGTCATTGCCAATTTTAGACATTTAAGTACAACTTGCCTGTTATTAAGTCCATGGTTGCATTGGTAAGTACATTTTCTTTAGTAACACTTTATGAGTTAAAGGCTTCTTCAATAATAGTGATTTCTTTTTCATTTTCAGGAAACCTGGAGTGGGAGCTGCCAGTATAAACATGAATGTGAGCCGCAAAAGCAGCCACAGTTTTGGCAGCAGAAGTATCAGAACAATTGGTGGAGGTTCCAGGAATAATCTTTTCAACTCTTCAAGCCGCAAGAGTGTTGCAATTGAGTCCAGCAGGGCAGAAAAAACACAGATGAAACCTCCAGTCCAGGTGTTGTGCCAGGTTTTCCTTTGAATTGTTGTTTACAGGGTTTTCAAGGATTTGTGCTAGTGGTTTATCTGCTTTTTGGTTGCTGCTATTACTTTCAAGCTTCCAAAGGGAAGGGTGGAGTTTGTGGCCACTTGTTAGGTTTAAGTATTAACAATATGGTAGCCATGCTTCAATCATTACACCGTATGTTTATAAGGACAGTTTGGTTGTGATTGAAACCATTTAATGGCTTTGATTCAGTTGTTCTTTGACTGACTTGCACTTTTCAACAGTAAAATCTGGAGCCATCATCTGGGCCAAAAGTCATTGCTTTACATAGTGAATGAATTAAGCTAATTATGAAGTGCTATTATACATTTAATTTTTTTTTGTGGCAGGTTTTTGATGACATGGGACAAGATGTCACTCCCAGAAGCCTGCTTCAAATTGATCCTACTGTGAAGTAAGGCTTGACTGCTTCAGCATGCGAAAAAATCTCAAGGATTATGATTAAAAATACTCATACTGATTGAGAGAAAACTGTTGCATGGTGATGTGATGGGGATTACATCACAACAAAAGGGTTTTTTTATAACCTACAGTACTTCTTTTTACAGTTTCTTGCAATAATAATGCTGAAAACAGCCCCCTTGAAAGTGATGTTTCACTGGAAATAACACATGATTTTTTAATTTCTGCTTTTAATTCTGTCAATATCCCAAAAGTGTGTAACATTGCCTCGTTGAAAGTAGCATTATTTCCTCAAGCATACTGTAGATTAATATGAACAGAAATGCTTGGCAGTAGTCAGTAATATAATTTGTTTGACCTTGCTTACATGTGATTCAGTAGTCCATAAACAAAAATAAGTTGTTAAGGATGTATAAAGCTAATAAAAAGTTAATTGCTATACATTGTCATTCATTATGCATACAAAAATATCATCAAATGTATAGAAAAGACCAAACCCCAAGTTCTTTTGTTTTTGTGCTTTTCAGATAGCCAGTGTTTACTTTTTTGTTGAGACTATACACATATCTTGTCTTTTCTACAGGAGAAACCAAAGTAATACTTTCTTCACTGGTGGAGAGTCCATTGCAACGGTATTGAAAGTTTTTTGTTGTAATAATCATTCTTCATAAATTTGAATAAAAACAAATAAATAAACATTACTGACTTTCCCCACTCGCAGCCAGTGGCTGAATTTCAGTGGAACCTGAGGGAGGTGAGAGGGCATGTCAGCATGTAAATGTGTGCTATGCTGCCGCTTCAGTCTGTGTTTGATTTCATACAAGACACTGGGATCGACAGTGTGTATGTCCCATACTCAGTTTCAAACGTTACAATGTCAAGGGTTTTTTTACCACTGTACGTTCCCCAAACCCAACTGTTGTTTAAGGATGAAGGACTGGACAGAGCCAAAGGCTAATGTCACCATCCATCGACCTGATCACCTGACCTGAGAAAGGGTGTTCAGTCACAGCTATAATAATTATTATTCATAATCTAGTCAACTAGCTTTTTAAGGACCGTCAGTTAATTGGTCCAGCAGGGGTTTGAACTCACACCCCCCTTCTCAGCAAAATCAACACTCTTCCAACTGAACTAACTTAGGTTACAAGGCATAAAAAGGCATAAAGGTAAAAGGCATAAAAAGATGGAGATAATACAGTCATTGTCATACTCTTGAACTCCCTACACGTTTTAATTAATAAACCTAAAGCCTGAGAAAAGGTACCTCTTTTGGGTGGAGTCGCCCCATATAGGACATCATGGGGACTAACTCTCCCAGGTCAAACATTTACATGTAACGCCAACCACTGCACAGGTGATTCATATAGCCACAATCAAGGAAGAGCTGTTTCCATTTAATCGTGGGGATCGCTGAGGTTTCATTTTCAGTGACCCTCATGATCATGATAATTGAAACCACAGGAAGCCTTTGGAACAGGGGTTCAAACTGTAACTTTATTTTGTGTTTTTGTGGTAGCCTTCTGTTGCCTCTGAAATGACTGGTCAATCATTTTATGCTGCCAGCAGCGCTAGTATGTATGGAGGATTTTCTCGATCAGTGTTTGGCTCTGTATCTGGAAGATCTTCTCCTGAATCTGTCAGTGAGGATCTTGCAGAACCAAGCTCTGGATATCGTGACAAATTTGCTGCATCACTTGGAGGTAATTATGTAAAATTAATAATATAAGAAGAAAATTTGTTATGATTGACTATTTAGATTTGAAGTACTATTAACCTAACCTCTCCGAGATATAATCGCCACACTGAAGGAGGAAGAACTTTTATCATCACGACCGTGCAAAGCATACGTGAAAAGTTTAGCATTGTCTTTAAGACAAAGAGACTCGGTAAATTCTTTTAAACAATCGTTGTGGAATAAATTTTTCACTCAACAGCAGACTCTTGCTCATATTCTTATTTAACTTGTTCAATAAGTTTAGACCAGATTATACAGCTTATCTTCTATTTTTTTATATAGTTCAGTAGTATCTATAGTATTTAGATTTTTAGATTATTTAGTTGTATCCTGTATTTTATATAGTTTAGTGTTATCTATTTAATTGTTTCTTTCATTATTTTTTTAATTTGTTATTTTAGAAGGCCAAAAGTGTATTTTAAGCTTTGTCTATTTAGAGTCAACCCACATTAAACAAAGTCTGTCTTATCTTATCTTATGTGTGCAGATAAAGTTAACATACGAATAGCTTGGATGGGGATCATGAATTTATTTGACAACACCTTTTGTTCAAACATACTGTATAGGAGATATTATATTGACTTCCTATCTGTCGATCATTTGTGTGTTGTTAGTATAATATGCCCTTCAGAATCTGAACTTTAGCTTTGTAGACAACTGCTGAGTAAAACTTAGAATTTACCAATCGCAACATTACTTTCAGTTTTCTTGCTGTAAGAGACATTCCCGCCGGTGGGAATAGAATTAATATTTTTTAATAGTTTTATTGTTTTCACCAATGAATTTCTCAAAAATCATCTTGGCGATCTGTAGATATTCAGACACGTCCCACGCTGGTTAGAGAAGAGCTTACGGAAGCAGATCTTGATAAAATGGTATGAAAATTATACTTTAATTCTTTTTTGTTAGTGATCGGTTTCAACTCCTTAGTTTTCGTTCGGCCGACTACGAAGCATCCAGCTACACGCGAGAAAAAACCTCTCGTATCCAGGGTAATAATTTGGTTGATTGAGTCAGTGAGGAGTTGTGGGTCACTACACGCCTTTTGAATAAGTTGGTCACGTGATCAACTTTCGGTAAAAGTGAAAACAGGAGTAGTGAATGAAAACAGAAAAAACAAACTGAAAACAGTTTGCTTTTGAAAAAATTTGTTAGACGAGCTGAAAGAGCATATTAAAATAGGGTAGCCTGTAAATTTTCAGCCGTATTTGTATGACAAAAACAACTCTTGCCACCTAGTCACGCTTGAATGGTTTTCCATACAAATCCTTGCAAATCTTGAAATTTTCAAACTGTCGTGAAATATTTCCTTAAGCATTACGGGGCTCAAATCTCCTTTTAATTCATAAAAGGCCCTTTGAGCCCTTAAATGTGTAAGAGAAAGATTTAACGACAGTTTAAAATTTTCAGATTTACAAGTAGTTGTATGGAAAACCACTGAAACGTGACTGGCTGAGTTGTTTTTCTCATACAGATCCTTCTAATTTGATCGAATTTAACGCCCCGACGGGCAAATAATACTTTGATTTGCATGTGGTACCGAAGTCGCTTTAGACGCACAGCAAGCTAGAGTCGGCAGTTACCTCCAAATAGAAAAATGGAAGCAATTTTTCGTGGCACTTTATTCACTACTCCTGAATGTATAGAGAAAAAAAATATGTCGATGAAGGAGGATTTATACCTCCATTTATTGGCGAATCGGCAAAGAGCTGCCAAACACATATAAAATCTCTCGTCTTCGTCGAGATTCATTACTAAAACGTTTTGGATCGAGACCTTGATGATGCCTCCACATCTGGAGAATGAAAAAGCGTCCACGTACGTTTTAAGTGATGCCCTCACTCAGGAGTGAATACCCAGGATAATAAGAAAACCAATCGTGATAATTATTACTCTGCTTAGGTACACCTTTCACTGTGTGAGACAGAGACCATTTGGTTGCTGGACTTTCCTGGAACATGTGTTGCTGAAGATAGTGAGATTGCTGACGGGATAAAGGAAAAGAACCAAAGATATGACGAGGTATGTTTAGTAAATCAGTTATGAAAAATGGGGGAAAATCTGACTTTCTCTTGCGAAAAACTCCGACTTTTCATTTGCATCTGACACTTTTATCTTTTGAGTAGCTTACACACATTTTATACCTCATGAAAACCCATCACTCGATGACTTAATTAGACTGAAATTCACAATATTTGCACTAAAATTGGTGATAACAATTACATAAACAATACCTTTTGGTCTAGAGATTTGGATTGTACACCTACAGTACGGCAAAACATCTTTTCAAATCGTTAGTCTGCCTTTTTAGAAACTTGTTGAACATCACAACGTATCTTTACAAAGAATCAGCTGCCACAGTTGTATAAGCTTGTGTAACTTCTAAATTGGATTACTGTAACTCTATTTTTGCGTTCGAGGTACGAGAACGCAACCCCTAATTTGTGTTGGGTGTTCTGTGCGTTATTGGGTGTCCTGTGCAAAGCTCGCTTTATAACTGGTGCTTGCTCGTAAGTTTGATCATGTAAGTCCACTTCTGGGAAAACTTCATTGGCTCCCGATTTCCTACCATGTTACATTCAAAATTCTCTCAAACATATCACTTTTTCGGCTGTAAAAATATTCATCGATGATTATTTCATAACTTTATTATTATTATTATTATTACAGTATACTTACAGTATTCATTCTTTTACTTGCCAAAAATCAGAGAAAATCAGTGCACCTATACACTGTACTTTGAAAAATTCCATATTCTCTAGTTGTCAACGGAATAAAAAAGTGTAAAATTCACGATAAAAAGACTGAGTACTACTACTACTGGTGATCACGTCTTGTGTATTCAGAACACGTTATCGCTTGCTATTGTCCTTGTCACGTCTCTTTAGCTTCTGAAAAACCGTGTTGGTAATGACAGTTACGTGGAGAGAGGAATGCAGACATTCAACAACGGTCAGAAGAATAAAGAAATACAATCCATCAAAGTAGAGTTACATGTAAGTATAAATAAAGATCAGTTTGATGGCAAATTTTGTAAAACGTGGGTTTGTATCTTAGGTATTGGATGTAATGGAGATGGTCCTTTCAAGCTCACCGTTTATGATATGGATGAGAATATGAAATGAACTTTTATTCAGCCCAGCTCTTTACTTTGCTGAATCCAAAAACGGATTTTGCGTCCCTTGACTCATATCTGATCTTTAAGTTCCCAAAGAAAAGCACGCTCAGTTTCCAAATGTCTTTGAAGTCAACGTGGTTGTGGATAATGGCGGAATTTTTCGTCGAGTCGCTAAGGGGCAGACGAGGAAGTTATCCCTAAAGCCATTATCCACCGAGGTTGAAAAGCGTAGGTTATAATATTTAACAATTATTCCTAGAGCCCGAATGGGCTCTGAGTCAATAGCCCAAGAGGCCGAAGGCCGAATGGACTATTGACTCAGAGGCCATGAGGACGAGAGGAATAATTGTTTTAGTAAAATCCAACTAGTTGGTCAAAAATATCGACACAAAACAACTTTAGCTTGCAAAACTCCATTCAGCCGCCATTGTTTTGGTTTTCAAAGGTGGCGCTTTTCGCTACTAGACTAGTGGGCTATAACCTATAGCCTAGTAGTAACTCAACCAATCAGAACGCAGCATTGATAATAGACCACTAGTTGGATTTTACTAAACACAGTAAGTTATCTCAACTGTATCATTTAAAAAAGGAAAACGTTAAATGTTGATTTGACTGACTGCCCAATATACTTGAAAAATTTGCACGTAGCGCTCAACAGTACATGCGCGAGAAAATTTTTTTTTTTACTTGCTGACATGTACGATTTTCTCAGCGTTTAAGCTAATCACATTTTTCTGTGCTCAAGATCACGCATTATCCGTTCGGTAAAGAATGGATAAGCCTGGTTTTCGCCGGCGACACCAGCATAAGGGCAAGCACCAGCGCAATCATACGTTAGAGTGTTTATTTCAACACGGGCATAAAAACGGCCTGAACGTGTGAGCGCAAGGAAAAACATAAGGATCAAATGCTTTTTTTTTTCAATTAAATTAGTATTGTGCCGAGATCGTGAAAATTTGTGGAAAAATGCGAGTTGGCTATGCTAACCAGGGCGGATAATGGTTGGGCGATGAAACGAGCGCGTCCGCGCAAAAAGGTGTGTTGCAGTAGACTGGGACTTCGCTTGGAAATGTCACCTGTTTTCGACTTTGGTCAGGCCTTGCGATGTGGTTTGTCCATTAGCAAAGTTGTCACTGAATTATGACGGCTTGAGTTGTTTTCTCGCACTTCTCCGTTATTTGAGCTGGATTTGCGACGTTTTGAGCGAGTCGTCATAACGCGTAGCAACCGAGAGGCAAAGTTTGAAGTATTACAATGCCACCATCTCCATATATCTCCAGCTAATTTTTTTGTTATGTTATGTAAAATTTACCCTCCTTTGATAACATATGTAAGAATTATAGTGGAGTAATTCGGAGCTTTGCAAACGAAGCGGCGAAAGACGATTAGGTGGTATTTAGCAGCAAGAGGAAGCGTTTAACAGTTTCAAATTGAACTCAAATTTTGACATTATACGACTAACAAGCTTGAGTTATACGCACACAGACGAAAACATAAGAAACTGTTTATCAATATTGTTGTGAAACGAATTTGCTCATTTCACACTGTAGGTTGAAATTGCCCTTTACAAGCCCTGATCTGAGGCGCGGCCTGTGAGTCAGCAAATCCAGTTAACAGTAAGGGTGGGCCCTGCACTCAGGACCTCCAGTTAACAAGGTCAGCTCTTTGACCTCTAGGCACGCTGCCCTCACTGTTAAGTGTTTAGGCTCCCTGTGATGTCATTTTGTGGTTTGTTGCAGGAGGTTGGCTGTGTGGCGACCACTTGGGACATGTATGACACGTATAATTCTCAGGAGGACAGCCATGAAGGTACAATAAGACTAGTAGTACGGCACAAGTCGGTTTTCTAGTTTTTACTTTAGCTTTTTGTGAAGCTGACACCACTTATGTTGTTGTTTTTTAATTTTCAAAGGAGGCGAAAAAGAAGATGGAGATGATCATTTGGAGAGTCTCAGTCGGCCTGTGAGTGGAGAAAAAACAAGCAGCCATGATGATAGCGAGAGTGTCGGTTCTGGAGCTGTCAGACCTTCTAGTGCAGCATCTGGCCGCAGTTTTACGGGTAAACTTTAATAAATCCTTTATCCCAAGTGATAAACTTGTGTTAAATGCGGTGCCCTTGCATGAAAGATTCACCAATGTAAAGTGTAAATATGCTTTGTGATCCCTTAGAATAACTATGATTATCATGAATCCAAATACCCTCTAGACTCATGTACTCAAGCCTAATAATGGTGTCATGAGGTCGCTGGAATGTCAGGACATGATATCATTATTTTTTACTTGTTTATGGATCTCAAAATAATTACTAATAATAACACTGTAATAAAACACTACTTCTACTATTACTACTGCTACTACCACTACCACTACCACTACCACCACCACTACCACTACCACTACCACTACCACTACCACTACCACTACCACTACCACTACCACTACCACTACCACCACCACCACCACCTCCACCACTACCACTACCACTACCACTACTACCACTACTACCAATAATGGTAATGATAGTTGGTTCCTTTTTGTAATCTGTTAGGAAGCCGAGCCAGTATGTTCACATTTAAAAGTAGTTCAGTTGAAGAAGAGACCCCTGAAAAACCAGAAGATGGCATCACTGATAAGGAAATGGAAGATCTTGCTTCCATCTTGGCTGAGAAAATACTTCAGGTAAAACAACTACTACTCCAGTATTTATCAATTCTCTCTGTTTTATTTACATTCATGTTTGTGAAACGTTTAGTTTCTGCTCCAAATGAGATGATATTAATTGACAATTATCCATGAACCACATTTAAGGTTTAGGTATATAGCAGTCCCCAAAGTTAATAGTTTTGTTAAGGAAGAACGTTCGAAAAGCCTTTTCCAAAGGCAAAATCTTCACGGCCGCGCCCGTTTCTCGTGTCTCTCTCGCGGCTTCGCCGCTCGACGCTCGCGCGCATGCACCCCCTTCATTAAATCTGAAGAAAAAGCGGGACTGCTCGCAGTCTACGATGAACAAGGTGCCTCGGACATCGTGATTTCAAAGAACCCTGAATATTTAAAATTCTGAGAGTTATCTGTAACGCATAATGTAAATGTAAGTTCTAAGTTCGACAGGTTCAAAATACGCAAAACAACTTTTACTTTTCAAATCCGCGTCAATTCATTCTACGGATCGAAGCTTGATATACTGAATAACTTTTTGTTGTTTGCCGCTTTCCCCCTCCTTTTTCCCTTTGTTGTTCCGGAGTGTTTGTCTTCGAAATTGAAGCTGTTGCTGTTGTTGTTATTTTGCTATTTTACTAAAGCAAAGTGCAGGATATTTACCTCAGTTTCAGATTTAGCATAAAGTATGCTTGACAGTAAATACAGTCAAACCCCGCTTTAAGGACACCCACTTAATACGGACACCTCACGGACAGTTTGCTTTGTTCCTGGGGAAAGAAAGCTCTTACATTTTCTAACTTCAACCCGCTTAGTACGGACACCCACTTAATACGGACACCTCACGGACAGTTTGCTTTGTCCCTAGGAAAAGAAAGCCCTTACATTTTCTCTAAATTCTACCCGCTTAGTGCGGACACCCGGTTAATACGGACACTTTCTATGGCCCCCTTAGTGTTGGGATTATACCGGGTTTGACTGTAACTGCGTTCCATAGCTTAAAGATCTTTTTAAAATAACTGTTTTCAAAGTTATGTGGTGCTTATCTTGACTAGTCAGAAAACATGCAAAAGGATCTTTTTACAATGGAGAGAGCGATCGCGTTGAATATCTATCAATCAAGACAGGCCAGATACAGAGGACTGGATATAGTAACAGGTAATCACATGCTGATTTGCTAGACTCATCTTGTGCATAATTGTCCCAAGCTCTTGTGCGTTTTATCTGGATGCCTTTTCTATTGACCTAGCATGATTACGCAGGGATCTCACAAACTGTTTGGTGACAGCAAAACGTATTTAGGGATGGTTACCCGTCAAATCTTCAATTGTTCTGATAAATATACAAATCTAAATCTCACCGTCGTATAAAACTTGTGCTTACCCTTGGAACTTTTTGACAGCCCGTTTACAGCTTATTATTTGCATCCTTTACAAACTTTTTTTTGCTTGTAACCGTGCCACCCTCCAATTCCAATGCCCAGTGCATTTAGCGGCTCGGGATCCCCCGCCACTGGGATTTATAAGTTAGGTTAACTAAGGTTTACCTGCTTTAATGATTTCTTTCTTTCCCCGTATGGTATATTTTTTTCACTTTTTCACTGGAAGCCACAATAAGTACTTTCCTCATTGGGGCAGCGCAATTTTTTTTCTCATCTTTATTATTGTATTCTGAGATAAAGTTGAAGTTGACCAAGAGTGCTTGTTTTGATCAGACATCGATGCAGAAAAATCAGAAGGCGAGGAAGTAACATCTGCCGCAGTAACTTTGGCACAACTGGGTCCCAATCTACACAAGCTTTGGAGCTACTCCTGTAACCTTACAAAGGGACGCAATGTCAGTTGTCTAGCTTGGAACAAACTTAATCCTGTAAGTTAACAAACTAGTACAAAACATCATTAATTGATCTCCTCCAACATGTGTGAACATATTGCTTTGTGGCCAGATAACACGCGTACGCTAACAGAAAACCTTGCATATTTTGGGCACAGGTTGTATTTCTTAGTACTTTTTCGACTCTGGGTCGCAGTTGAACGGATAGTGTTCTGAAAGCGTTCGACAAAACAACTTGTACTCAAAATTTCAGTAATTTCTCAATAGTCGTCGATTCATGGTACTTGACTCAAAAAGGCTGGCTGTCTGGTGTTGATTTCTTTTCACCGTGTGTTTCTTATAGAGAATTAGTTTGATGTAAGAGAGATTTATAGTCACGTTTACGACTAAGGGCAAACGTGAGTTTGTACCACATGACCAAGTTTCCCTTTACTTTTTCTTTTACTGTTACTGCCGTTACTTCTACAAAAAAAATCGTAGTTTCACGCCAGTTTTGTCCATAAGAATTGTTTTGGAAAGTTTTAATCTGGTTATTTGCAATTTGGAGAAATTTTTAACTTGAATCTGACGTTTACTGTAAGCTTGACTCCAAATCTCCCTATCATTGCTGCTTTGTGTATAACAGGATATCCTTGCTGTGGGTTATGGAGAGTTTGTGTTCTCTGAACAGAAGGGCGGCTTAGCCTGCTGTTGGTCCATCAAAAATCCGGAGGTAATGTTTATTTTCACTGTTTGTTAGCAGTAGGTCTTCTTGAAGGCGTAGTTCTATTTTGTATTGTGGTTCAGTTTTATCCTTGGTTTAACTTTTCCTTTCCTTTGTTTTGGGGTATGGTAATGTATGTTAATGAGTTTGAAACAAAGGGAAATAAAATTTAAACAAAGGATGAAATTGAACCATAACATAATTATGCATTAGAGACGTTTAAATTCGAACACGAAGATTTGACTGAAAGGTTTTTTTTTCGCGTATCCTAAAAATACACTCTGGAAAACGTCGTTTTTTGTTTTAAACTAGAAACGTTAACAAGGAATTGAAGGAAGTTAAGCCCTGTCCCGATCACAATAAAATTTCTTTCATTTAATAACTTGTTTCCGTCGCTAGGACATTTTCGCTAAAACCCGTAGAAAAAAAAAAACGACGGCTGTCGCGTTTTTCCGCCACGCGCGCACTACATAGTATTGAGACAATCTCGTTGTCGTAGTCGTCTTTGTCTCCTTCACGGGTTGTTCGCTTTTTTCTTTCTCTTATTTTTGTTTTTACTTTCTTTCAGTATCCTGAGCGAGTTTTTCACCTCAATAGTGGAGTAACTGCTGTAGATTTTTCAGCTGCCCATGCAAATCTTTTAGCCGTAAGTAAAATCCGTTACACCTTCTTCATGAGGCATGCACTTAAAATCATCAAAAGCATGCAGTGCATAACTGGGGCCAGGACAACACCTTCTTCCAATTTGCTTCATAAAAATAAGCTGGATTTTTGAAAACGTTTCCGCCAAATGAACCTCTTCCGTTAAGCCTTTTTTTCGGCCAAAAACTCCAAAGTAGTCAATATAGAAACTAAGAGTGCAACTATGGGTTTTTATCGCCTCCTCCTTTCTCTCTCCTTGCACTTGCTTTTTTTTCCTTTTCTTTTCCTTCGTTAGAGTGAGTTTCGGCCTTATAGGACTCAAAAACCTGCTTTTTAGCCAAGTTCCACTCAAATGGCTACAATTTTCGTGAGGTTCGCGTTTTCAAAAATCAGGCTAGAAATTAAAGAACTTATCTAGTGAAAATAGTTTTTTCTCTTGATCTTTTGAATGGGAAAATCATAAAAAAATCTTTAAGGGAACGGAAGTTAATACTGATTTTCGATTTGTTTTACTCTGGAAAGTGCACAAGCCTTAAGGTGTATCTGAACAAGTGTTTCCTTCAGCTAATACAAACATTGCGTTCTCAAACATAATAGCATTTGATAAAGAGGGTAACCATATTTTTCCCTAGTGACCTCATGGAAGTCTGTATATGTTCGAACGAGTTTTTACTGATTCGGCGGCTGTTGAGATTTTGATGGTTTTGGTTTGAAATAGGTAAGTCAAGTAAACAACTTGAACGACAACAGGTAAAGAAACTCCTTGTCGCAGATTAACGCGTTTCTCAGTCGTTTTTAGGGCTCTGCTGGAGTGAGTAGTTTAAGTATATCCCATGCTCGTACCCAAAAGGAACTGTCTAAATAGCTTTGCCAAACCATACCATTTGTTTTTGGCCAGGTTTTCTTGTACATCGCTGAGTGAGGAGTTTTCTCCGTCTCTTTAGGTAGGCATGTATGACGGTACAATTGCAATCTACAATGTGCGAAACAGGAATGATGGACCCGCCTTAGACAGTTTGTAAGTATACCCTCAAATCCCATACTGCTTTGCCTTTTTACTGTTTACTTCACGACCACTATCGTAGTCATAACAGGAAAAACGTTAGTGATCTTTGTGGACAGAGGGCCGTCAGTACAGGTGCTACGTTAGTGGAAAAGAAAATAGGCAGATGGATAAAATCAATCACATAAACACTGTATAAATGGTACATGATTTTTCCTGCTTTCCTAGTTGCAGTGGAAATACTTCTTAGACTTGGTAATACAGAGTTAATGTCGTTTACATAGACTTAATGGCCTTTTCTAGGCGTTTAGATAGTGGAGCGCCGGCGAAAAAAAAAGCGAGGGAAAAAAAAACGAGGGAAGATTGGGGAGAGCGTTCAAGGAGCAAAAAGCTGTTCCGGTATAGCAGATGTGCCTCTGATTGATTGATTAGAGCTTTAAAACCCTTTTTGGTGTATCGGGAAGGAAGGGGGCGGAAGGTTACAACATCATTACAAATAGTGTTTAATTCAGAAATATTATAAACTTGTATTTTATTTGTGGAAATCAGTGTTTCTTAATTCTTCATATTCTGATTGACAACTGGAGGTCGTTCGCCATTCCCCAGTCCCTTTTTTGGGTGTGTTTCTTGTTCGCTCGATTTTTGGCCCACGCTTCACCATCTGGACACCTGGAAAAGACTCAGTAAAGACTTATCGATGAGTAGGTTAACAGTATCTTTAGTAACCAGTCATTAATAGTGTGTAACTGTTCGTTGTAGTGAAAGCCAAGGTAAACACTCATCACCCGTCTGGCAGGTCCGCTGGGTGGACCGAGAACAGGGTGCTGGAGAAGAAAGAGATGAAATCCTGATTTCCATTTCAGCTGATGGTCGAGTAACCAAATGGTCCATAAGAAAGGGATTTGAGTGTACAGGTGATCCTCTTCACTTCTAAAATAGTGATAACTTTTACCGTTCATTGAATAGTCTCCTTGAGGGAGCTGTGTCACGAAATGTAGCAAATTCAAACAGTGGGGACCGCCACCTAACTGAGTGAAACTTAAATTTAACTGCTCAAAACATGAATAGAGGGTATAAATAACACAGCAAATATAAAAAGAGAAACAAGTGGACAAATTGGGAGAAGATTGAAACGGATTGCAGTTGTGGTTCTTGAAAACTTGTTTGCCTAACAGATTTTGAAAGTTCATTTTTGTTTTTTGTAACGTTATTATATAATGCTTGGGAGACTTATTTTCTTGACACGAATCTGTGATTTTGTCATTCACAAGTAATTTCTGAATTAGGATGTGCAACTACAGTTGAACTTCTCTACAAAGGCCGCCTTGGGAACAGAAGAAAGTGGCCATTGTAAAGAGGTGGCCGTTGTAGAGAGGTTTTAAACAGAGTCAATTTATGGCTTTTTTGTCCGCCTGGACGAAAAAATATGGCCGTTGTAGAGAGGTGGCGGTTAGCGGAAGTTCGACTGTAGCAACAAAATGTGCCAGCCAGCCGTAACACAGCCCCTTTTTAAGCTTTAAAAATTTTGTTCTATTCATGACGTTTAGACCTGATGAAGTTAAAACGGATAAATGTGGCCAAACAGTCGAAGGAGGGAGGAAAAAAAAGTGATGCTCTTATATCCAGATTTGCTGCCGGCTTCTGTTTTGATGTTCATCCTAACGATTCTAACATGTAAGTCATTGCCTGCACGTGACAAGCTTCCATGTAGTGTTTGCTATGGGCTAATCGTTGCTTTTTAGTCGACCTGTCTCTCTTAGGACTGGAAAAATCTCAACTGAAAAGAGCGCGCCAAAACTTTCTGGTATTCCTGAGTATAATCACTCTGAAATTAACGTGTGGTCGAGCTCTCATTGGTTAATTAAAGGCCACGTGAAACTGTTTCCCGCCAGCAGTCTCCGAGCGGGAAATATCGCAAAATCAATGACGTCACCGCGCAATGTTAACCGGTTGTTGAGATTTACATCCTTAAATGATGTGTAAATGTATTTTTCTTCGTGACCTATATAACAAATCGCTTACTGATTAGTCCCTCCCAAACTAAATATATCAAGATACACTTTCAAAGAAAAGATAATACACGATTGAATGTTCAAAATGTTTAATTAAAGTTATATAGAATTGCTAGCATATTGACGTTGTCTCGTATTCTGATGATTTCAGCTTGTCCAATCTTTTTTTATCGTTTCCTCCAGTGGTATTACGCTAACCCCGTTAAACTGTATTTTGCTACTGTATTGATTCGAACGTTGGTATCTCAATGAACCTCTTTTCTCTGCGTGTTTTAGGTACGTAGCTGGGACCGAGGAAGGTCATATTCACAAGTGTTCGTGCTCCTACAATGAGCAGTATCTTGAAAGCTATCATGGCCATACTGTAAGATAAAACATGTTAAGCAATTCTCGGAGACCCGCCGGCGGTTAACTGGGATCGGATGTTTAGGGGTGAAATGATTTATTGCTCCAAGCTTTACAAAAACATATCATGAGAGAACTCCCAAGCCCATTCTTTGTTTCTGAACTGAAAGGCTGAAAATATTTTTCTGGCCAATCATTACCAAGGAATTCAAACGCTTCGAGAAATGGTTTGGTAAATTGCTAACTGGCTTTCACATTCTCTCTGTTAATTTTCCCTGCACTAATTTTCCCATAAGTACGGTTCGGTGCCGATTGGCCGCCCGTGGGACTTCGCGGACGATTTTAGTCGTGTTTGTTGTTTGTTCTAGCTAATGTTGTTTTTTGTTGGCAGGGTCCCGTATATCGTCTGCAGTGGTCTCCGTTCCTGTCGGACGCTTTTCTTAGCTGCAGTGCTGATTGGAGCATTCGGCTATGGCATCAGGATAAATCTCAACCAGTTTTAACCTTTCTGTCATCCACGGTACGTAGTAACTACTGTCGTTTTGTTGGCTTGCCTCACTTGGTAACTTGCTAAACCTTGTTTATTACATTTGATTTTCAGAAATCAGTGAATGACGTCTGTTGGTCACCCTCTTCAGCAACACTTTTTGCTTGTGTCAACGACAAGGCTGTAGAAGTCTGGGATCTGAGCCTTAACACGTAAGACCCCCGCTTTCGCCATCCTTTTCGTTTTATTCTGGCGTGCCGTTGAATGTTTTGATCTCACTGTGTTGTTTACGATTTATCAGATTGGATCCTATAATATCTCATGTGCCAGTACAGGAACTCAAGTTGTCTTGTGTTCGATTTACTACCACCTCAGAGGTAATGCTTCCTTTACGACTCTTTTTTTTATGACTATTTGATCGCATCTCTTAACATCATGCCTGATAATTTTTCTATCTATGAGCTGTAGCGCTGCTTTAGCGCCTTACGCAGGATCTCTTCTTTCATTTCTTTCCATATGTTCCTTTCGCGAGAAAAGTCGAAAGGAAAGTACCTTAACTTTACTCAACCCTTAAAGGCACCCGAAACGTTTAACTGAAACATCTAGGTGTACAAAAGCGATGCGAAACGAATTTTGGCGTGCCAATTATCAACTTTTTACAAGTTTATAAAATGGCTTAGTAACACCCTCCTCGATCTACTTAATTCTTCATATCCTACGAAAGCCGGATTCATTAATTGCTAATTATGTGAAGTTATTTGAACTGGGTCAGCTAGTGTGCCGTTTGTTTTGGTTTAACAGATTCAGACCATTTTAGTGGGTGACTCGGAAGGCCAGGTGACTGTCTATCAACTAAGAGGTCTTGCTTCTCCAACAGACAACCAGGTAAAATCCAAACATTGAAACTTTGTTGAAGCATAATATGTTTTTCATTTTTTAATTGAGTTGCTCAACAAATCGTCTTACTTTTCTTTCGTTTCCGCCACAAGCGTCTTCCTCGCCCCAGTAAGAATTTAAGTTGTTATAGATTTTTACCGGCAAAGAGTTGTTATAAAGCGCGGCACACATTTCACATGTCCAGGATCCCGGTAGCACGGGCTTGAACTGTTTTCTCCATAAAAAATATTTGTTATAAGCACTATCGTTTTTGTCCAAGAATAGCATGTAATTAGCAAGTGACTCTATCGACGAGAAATCCATGGCGTTAATGAAAGAACCGGGGATAGCGACTTGCTGGTCGTATGAAGGACTCCCTAGCACTACTGGAATAATACCGTGATCTAGTGGCGTGTACCAGTATTTTTCAGTTATGTAATCAAGGCAGTATGAGTTTTCGAACGCTAGAAAGAATTTGTAACGCCGCAATATTTCGCGGCATCCTCGAGTCGCTTTTGGACAGTTGTTGGTTTGATTAAAACGCTTTGAACACATTCCAAACACATCTACCTTGATGTACTTCATCAGTTTTCTAACCAAGTCTTCTCTAATCCCTTTACAATGACTTACAATCCAAACAGCCAGTCTGCTTTTGTCTTTGGCGTAATTCGTAGTCTCTGACTGTTTTTCGACAATCTCGTCGGGTCCCAGTTGTGTGTAGGTACGGTACGGAACAAAAAAGTCCGAATCCCTCCGATACGACATCGTCCAGTTGAAGAAGCCGTTGTATAACGAAGGATCATAGTAAGTAAATTTTGGACTTTCGTGCATGAAGTAAACCCATCTCTGATTGAAAGGTTTGACGCTCAGAATCTGCTTCATGTGTGCTGTGCTTGGTAAATCTCGGCCGTGAAATATAACTGCATCACTGTGTATCAGATGGCTCTTGTTATAGGTTATTTTACATGCTTGCACACGACAAGGAACTCTATTCCAGTGTGTGAAGTTGTAATTGTTGGTTAAACCTGGCCATGGTAAGCGACCAAATAATGGCGTGTAGAATAAAATCAGCTTCAAGTCCCGTCCGTGATTCTTTTCTCCACTTAACATAAATTCGTCCATGGTCATTCCATGTACTTCAGCAGTTTTACCCCTTACCACTGTGGATTGACGCAGTAGCCGATACTGCAGAAAAGTGAGGGCGCTACCTATAAAAACTATCAAGACAACAGATTTCGTTTTGTAATCTAGAGCCATAATCATTTTTGAAATGTTTCTTTCCTCCCTGTCTTGATTTTAATCATGCGGGATTTTTTAAACGCAAGTTTTGTTACCTGGAAACAGCTCTTTGTTAAACTGTATCGCCGGCAATCATGATCGTATATTAGCAACAATCCTATTGTCAGAGTCACTTTTCACCAAACATTGTTTGTCTTCCCTTTTGTTTTCTTCTGTTACCGCATGTTTGGTTTTTTCTCAGAAGTTCTGAATATCTTCTTCCCTCTTATTTGTCGGACGTATTCGTATTTGGTAATGTTACAGGCAATTTCTGTATAAAGTACCCACCATTCAGTGTCAACTGTCTGCAAATTAAGTTATGTTGTGTTAACTTATTGTATTAACTATCCAGCGAGCAGATCGCGTACGCTTCCTCCATAGGAGTAACCCGTGGATAGAGTTCGTCAGTTTTTCTGATACAAAATTTGAAACCGGTTACAGTAAACACTCGCATAATAAGAACACACGATTTCGGAGGTCAGGCTGATTGAGTTCTTATTTATCGGTGCTGAATGACAAATCAGCCTCAAAATGTTCTTACATTTTTATTTAGTAGTACTATCCAAAACATGTTGCTAAAGGTATATTCAGCATATTTTAGGAAAATTAAATAAATAATTATTCTGCAATTTGATTATATTAACAAATGAAGTTATCTGACAGGAAACATAAACTTACATGTTTTGTAATTATGACACTTTTTCCATTTTATGAGAACATGTTACAATTTTCAGGCTGATCTTGTTCTTATAAAAATGGGGCTTTATTGGCGAAATTTCAGCCTGGTGTTGTTAATCCATTTGTTCTTATATGCGGGTGTTTACTGTATCGCATCTTCGTGAAATAAGCCGGAAATTGACGCACTCAGTTTAATTTGTGTGAAATGTTTTCATTGTATTTGAGAGGGAGCAAAAAGAGGGAGCAAACGGGAGCAAACTCGATGCGATGAATTTATTTCAGCTCTGAAAAAGGACTGTTCACAGCCCCCTATTTTCCCTTAAGATCGTCTGGTAGCCGTTACGGACGGCCATCTTGGTTTCAAAGGTACTGACAGGGTGGGCGTCGGTATTTATAGCGGTGAGCCAGAGAAACCAGGATGGCGGCCCCGTGAGGGTGAGTGTTCGATCTTACGGGAAAATAGCACACTTGTGAACAGACTATTTCAGCTCTTAACAAAGACAGTATTATTTCATGATCACCTTTGATCACAACGTGGCTGTTGTTCACCCTCTAGTTGTTTTTTCATGATAATTTATTTTTGTTTTCGCAAGAACTGTTCCAACAAAAGCAATTTTTGTCTTTTTTTGCAGGCGCAGGTTTTGACCAAGTTAATAAGGTCTGTTGATAACTTGGCAGGATCACCGGGTAAAAAGAAAGCTGATCAGGAATAAGAAGGATAGAGCGGTCACCTACTCACATGAACGACATCCACGCAGATAAAATGGCCATTTAAAACAAGAAGTCCAAGTATTGTATACAAGATGGCTTATTTTATTATTTGAAGAGTTATTATGAGACGAAGTCAAAGTTACTTCTTTTTCCTACTGAATGTTAAAATGAAATGTAGGGAAACAAGCTTGTATAAAAGTCGTTTGGTTTATATTTATTGTGTACAAAAAAGCAAATAAAATTATAGATTCGATAAAACAGTGCGACAAGTTATGTACATTGATGTTATTTTGAAGGTATTAAAGTGAATTTTTAGTAAAGCGTGCGTGTAAACCCATGCTTTTTTAGACGGTCTGCCCTGAACTGCTGTTTCTCTACCACTATACTAACCGATTTCTAGGTCCGTGCTGGAAGTTAAATCATTAATCAACGGCGAAAAAACTCGGTCCGTAACTTAACGAATAGACAAAGAAAACGAGGTTAGTAAGATATTTTAAAGCAGACGCATGTCTGAGGTTATTCAGGAGCGCGGGAAAAGAAAACTTTCAAATATAATGGACCATACAGTAGAACACAGCCCGCAAAATTCAACCAATCACAGCGAAACAACAATTATTGAATGAGGCTGAGAATGACATGAAGAATTATGCACATCGAGAAATGTGTTCAGCTGTGGCGGATAGCAGCCTCCACAATCTGCACAATTCCTCACATCACCCGAAAGCCAAATTCAATGATTTTCATAAAGTCTTACCAACATTAACTCCTCGTGGACTTTCCTTAACACATTGACCTGTTTCTCGGCATAATTTCCGAACGTGAACGTTTTTTTTTTTCAAAATCGTGGGTGCAGAGAAATTGCTAGTTTTTCAGAGTACATTTTTGTTGTTTGGAGAACCTGAATAATAAAGCTTCCGAGACCTCTTTCTGACACAAAGCAGTGATTTTGTCCATAACGATGAAGGCCGCGTAATTTGCAGTAATAAAATGATCTAGACAGCCGTGGCAGAGCCCCTTCAAAGACACTCAGAAACGGCAGAATATTTTGAATGAATAATAAAAGAAATTATTTAATTATCTATTGCAATACATTTCGTGTTTTAAGGTTTATGGGTTAAGGTGAGGGTTTACGACTCCATTGTCTTTGCAATTCTTAGAAGAGACTTGAGCACAAAGAAAACCAAACATAGAAATATGACCAGAAAGCCTTAAAGTCATGCTAGAATTTTAATATATCGAACATGGAACCGAACCTGGGCTATTTCATCTCTGAATTAGACTGCTGGGTATGGCTTTCAAATGGTAACGAGTTTAAAACAAGGGAACTAAAATTGGCATCCAGGATAACATTGAACCAAAGCATGTTGTTAAGCTCCCAATATGTTTGCACGTAAGTTGGAAATTCTGCGAAACTCTTACACATGCATGCAATGATAAAAAAGGGCCTAAACTTGACTAACATTCCTAAAATTTCTTTGCTAATTGAAAACTACATTTTCCATTAAACCACGTCGCAACTTATGTTCTTCTTTTCATGTCCTCTTAGTCAGGCATAACAAAATGAAGGCTGTTTGTTCTTCGCAGTTCCAGCTGGCCGTTACCGTGTTCATTGTTAGGTTGAAAATAAATCTTGGTGTACTGCATCAGAAGTTGTTCTTAGAGAAGCGTTTCCAATTGTACGGTGCCCACTTTTATCGTTTTCAACGATGCTGCGTTTCAATCGTTTCAATCGCGCAGGGCTTTTTAACCTATGGAGTGCTACTTGGCGTGCCACCCACATCTGGAACGTTAATTTTAAGAACTCGCATCAATGACGCCACTCATAAAAGCAAGCACTAGTTCAACGAAAAGGACGTTTAACTGCTTCCGCTGTTATAACGTGTAACGTACTGGACATGTTCTTCCGAGATGAGAGCGTTTCCTTTAGTGGTAGCCTATTGAATATAGATCGTTTAGCTCTTATGCCGGTATGCACTCGTTCAGCTTCTGTCCCCGACTTGTCTTCGGTTGTAGAAGATGAATTGATTGTTTTTGGAGTTGAGGATTCAACCCTTGACTTTGATGTTTAAGATCTTGATGTCTTCATATGGTTTATCGTTCTTAGGGTTTGTTTTGACTTTGCTGATGGCCATCACCACGTCCATTCCCTTTACAACACGTCCAAATACGGTGTGCTTGTTGTCCAGCCAAGGCTGAAATAAAAATAAGTCGATCATACATCAAAGAGCTAAACAACCTCCGACGGTGCAATCATAGATGTAGCATCATCTACAATGATGTAAAATTACCCAAATGATATAAATTCTGGATACAACACATTAAACTGTTCCCAGCCCCTCTATTTTCTCAACTTAAAGGGGCTACACTTCACGCTATTTCCTGTCTTTTCATAAAGCTAAAACTATTTTCCCATCATTGAATTCCGCAAATAATGATCCAGTTTTATTATGTAACACTATATTTAGGCATTGAAACTGTTTTCTATCGTCTGTTGCAACGGATGGCAAGGATGGACATGGATTTAGACTTGAAAAAGTTGGACCAACGTTTTGAACCTTTTATGCTATGCCCGCAAAATATCCACCACCCTCCCAAAGAAAAAAATAACTATGGTTAGTGCTTCCTGATAAAATTTGTAAGATGTCTACTTCATAACTCTACAGGATCATTATGTGTATGGGATAAAAACGCTGAATAATGACTTCAGAACATAATTAACCTAAAATAGCAATATCTTGGTGACACAGCCCCTTATGCTGAACGGAGAACAATTGAAAGGAGCGCCAAGGGCTAGGAGGTAGAGGTATTTCGCGCGTTCATCAAATAATGAAAAAGGAAGAATTAAGTTGAGGACTGCGAACATTTTAACGCCGTCGACATAACAATCCAAAATCTCGGAAGGGACCTTCGTAAAAGGTGTTGTATATACTAGTCTCCTACGCAGCAGTTTCTTGTGTCGTGACGCGACGCTCCTCGACACAAATAACGGCTCCAAAGGAGACTAATAATAGACACGAAAGTCAAACAAGTGTCCCACGATAATGATTTTCCCGCCAACCTGAGAATTTGTTGTGTTTTCTAAAAATATTCTGTTGTACTGACAACGCCATTTTTAAACGCGCGGTTTTTCATTCCGAAGATAAAAGTTTCTTCTATGTGTAAAAAGCGACCACGTAAATGTTAAGTTATTAAAAAATATAAGCGAAACAGAGACCATATTAAAAACGTATTACAAGGCTGACTTCATAAAGCGAGTTTCTCGCGCTCTTGAAATCTCTACTGGTGACCACTACCTTGTGGATACTTGTCCAGATACTCTACCCTGAGCAACAGGAAGCTTATGGAAACTAAGGCCAATAAACTAAGTTCGTAAGACAAATATCATGCACACTGCCGGTTAAGGCTGCTACTTTGATTTTCCTTACCGTTGGTACCACAGTAATGAAAAACTGCGAGCCGTTTGTGTTGGGTCCTGCATTGGCCATGCTGACTGTGTACGCCCGATCATGTCTTAAATTCCGGTGAAACTCGTCCTCGAATTCTCCACCCCAGATGGACTCTCCACCAGTACCATCCCCTAAAAGACATAATAATCCTCCTCAGAACAGTTGTATTTTGGTAACCACTTCGGCTAATTCTTGGCTTGAAAACACGTGACAAGGCAGCCATGTTGGTGGACAATACAGAAAGAATTTAAATAAAAATGGAGTTCACTTCACAGGTTCTTGACCACCAACACGGTCGCCGTGACGTCACCTCCAAACCAGCAATGCAATGGAGCCTGCAGGAAGTACTTTTCTTGTTTAAGATAAAAAGCCACTGTTTGAAAACCGCCAAAGTTTACCCGCGAAAACAGAATGAGAAAAAGGTTTGTAGACGAGTTACCGTGTGAAACGTCGGTAACATTCGTCTCTCACGCAGTCAAACTATGTCTTGCACGCAACGCAGCCAACAAGGAAAGGCTGCTTGAAAGAAGGAAACAGGTCGATTCGTACCCACTTTTTTGTCCATTAGTACCCTTATTCCATTCAATTAGTATACACACAAATAAAAGAGTGAATACAACTCAATAATAGACGGGTTTCGTGATGACTTCGGAAAGTATATTTTACTAAAAGAAAGTGTTTTTTGGAAGTTCGTACACACGTATGTTATTCATTATTTCTTTTGATTGTTAATATTGACCTTCTGGGTCTCCAGTCTGGATCATAAACTCATGAATAACGCGATGAAATATATGTGTATTGTAGTAGCCATTCTCACAGTGTGTTGAGAAGTTCTCCACCGTCTTAGGACACCTATCAAAAAAGAGCGAAATTACTAACTGTTACAAGCATTTACACCGGAACAAGAAATGACGAAGAGGACTGAAAAATTGTTCCCTAGGTAGGGGTCATGTGCCGTGCATATTATTATAACTGAAGGGAAAAATATTCAAGCAAATATTTTGCCACGATTCACCTCGATTTCAGAGAATAACTGCTAAAAAGGACGCAATCCTCGACCAATCAGAGAGCGCGAATCACTATAATCAGTGGAGTAATTATACAAAGACGTAAGGTAAAACACACTTACTCTTTTGGGAACAGTTTTATTGTAATATCACCCATTGTTGTGTGGATTGTAACTCCATCAGGAAGTTTCTTGGTTCCCTCGGACCCCTTACAGGAAAAAAAAATTCATCATAACTTATTAAGCCTTTTTGCACAGTTATCACAAATGACTAGTCACACCTACTAAAACAAGGACGCTCTTAATATAAAAGCGGCAAGTCTCCCTTGCTTGGAGAAAAGATAAGAAATCCGGAGAGGCGACTAATTCTACATTATTCCTCGCTAAAAATCTTTTACGTTCTACTTTATCGACGGTCCAGTATTGTTCACGATATCTACTTTTTTATCGTATTCGACGATTTGCTTCCGAATTGATTGCGCACGCGTGTATAAATACACGAAACTCAAGGGTATGGATTCGAAAAAATTACGTCATTGCTAGAAAGCAAATACGTAATGAACATCGCCGAAAATAAACTGCATGCTCATCACAAGACTCATTTGCCTAAAATGAAAGTTTACAGCACCCGGCCAGAAAAAACCTTCTCACATTCATCATACTCGACCACCACCCAACCCCCCATGCCCCCGCCACCACCCCATTTTGGCGCGCACACACGACAAAAAAAGAGAAACGCTTGAGTCTCGCAGCTTAAGCAAGCTCGACTAACGAGTAAAAATAAAAAAGTAGACATATTTCCTTTTATTTCCTTTGACACTTTTACCTCTCATGTCCCATCCCTATTTACTACACACAAATTGGTGCATCTTCTTGCTTGTATGCGCTGCAAGGTTTTCACGTTCGTCTTGCAGCATTTTTGCAGGTAAAAAGAAAGCCAACAGACTTATGACCGTAGAGGGGATTGTCATAGCTTAGCATCAATTGCAGGTTTACGTGAGTGCAACGGTTATTCTTAAATCTTACCTGAGTAGCTGCAAGCATTTCCTCTCTCGAAGGCTTTTCGTTGAACACATCACGATCGCTGTCACCACTGAAATGATAAAATGATCACTGTTCACACGATTGCAAGATCAGTATCTTAGGGATTATCAAAGCGGTTATAAAGTGCAAGTACCGGCGGGTAACATAAACTGATAATGTCCTTGTAAAATCAACGACCCTGTCTGCTACTTTATGCATTTTGTGCAACGGAGTCCTACATAGACACACTTCAATCGACCTGGCTCGCCCTCCATATGACACCTGTCTAAAAACTTACACTTTCCACCCGAATATTCGTCCCATAGCTCACCTGAGATCAGGCATTCTGGTAGAAAATATGTAAAACCTATTTTTCTTGGATGCTGTGCAGAATAACATTGGGTCAAGAATACCGCTTTGAAGCGATGGATTCTCTGATGCTTCCATTTCCTGAAAAATAAAATCCATATATGACACATTGCAAAATGCTATACTACAATAACAGTAGCGTTAGCTAACCCAGTCACGCTCATTTCAGTTAGACTACCTTAGCCCAGTCATGGCAGTCATTCTAGACTTCTCCACCTAGTTAGATTAGTTCATCCAGTTAGACCAATAAGTTAAGTCATGTCACTAAAGCTAGTCAGCCCAGTTATGACAGCTGGGCTTGTCGATCAACTCATCTTAGTACCGTAGTGTCACTCAGGCTCGTCAGTCCAGTTGCTGCAGTCAGGCTAGTCAAGCAAGCCATGTCAGGCAAACTAGTTATTCCAGTCGTGTCAGTCAAGCCAGTCAGTCCATTCACGCCATTCACGCTAGTCAGTCTGTGTCAAGTCAGGAAAATTTATAGACCAGTTCGACAAGTGGCCAGTCTGGTCACAACAGTCAGAATGACAAAATCACGTTGGGAGGTTCGTCATGTTAGCAATATTTATCAAGTTGCTCAATTCTGTCAGGTTACTCAACCACTCAGATTAGTTGGTTCAGCCTTATTAGTTGAGTTATTTTGGCGGACGAACAAATATCATATCAGGCAATTCTATCCAGTGCATTTCGTTTGCCACTAGGTCAAGTAGATTAATTAGGGCTGAATTTGGTGTTACTCAAGCCGATTCTATAGTGACAACAAGAGAACTTGGTTTATAATATATTGTACTGTTCATTGGTTGCAACCTTGTCCAACTCACAATGGGAAATACGGACAGTTACATTGCAACAACCTTTAATATAGCACACTGCAGTTGCAATCAAGACACTGGAAAGCCTTGAGCATATCAGGTATAGTGTGCAAGTCTGTGGTGAACACTAAAGAAACCAACCCAATTTGGCTAACAAGAAAAATGTACAATTTAGTACAAACAACCAAAAATTCTGTAAGCAAAAACCTAATACACCGCGAAACAGTAGTCGAAAATAAACATATCACTACCCCTTAATGCAGAATATTGGTAAAGGGTAGTTAAAAAAAATATCTGTCGTTATTCATTTTCCTACAACTCAAGAACCTGAAAACAATAAAGCCTCTCTTCATGACTGGACAAACATCATAAAAGACACTATCAGATGGCCATTTTATTGATGGGTGTCATTACCATTGTGACAGCAGCTTTAGCCTTCTTAGCTTTGCCTTGATACAGTGCTAACCGAACAAATCGTACATTTTCCATCTGCAAGGAAACACATGTATGTCAAGCAAAGTTGTCATGAGAATCAATTTGCATACTGTTTAAAGGTGAATGATCTCAAATGAAACCCATCTCAGGTACTGTGAACCGTTTGCTTAACTTTTGAAATAATTTCAGTGATAATTTCTAATGGATTTAAGTCCTTATTTGTGCACCATTCTCATGGGTGAGGGGTGCACGAAATGAGGCGAAGAAATTGTTTTGAGGTCAAAAACAATACGATTTTACTGGAAATAAAACTGGTCTCATGCTACGGGAATTTTGCTTAAGAGCTACTGAAATTAGCAAATTGAAAACAACTTTCCATGGTCTTTACTCCTATCCGCCATAGAAGTGACGTCAAAATGAAGTCTAACCACGAGCCGCAGGCGATTAGTTTCACTGCAAAGTTTTGAACATTTGGACGTCATTTTTACGGTCGTTAAGGTTACACGCCATCGAAAATTCTTGTCGATTTGCCTTCAACAATGACATTGACAGGTTTTGACGCTCATTCTTTAAGGAGTTCCTTAAAAAACCGCGCAGCCTTGCGCACCAAAGCTCTCGACCAATATGCGCGAGAAAAATCGCTCAGCTATTGAAAAATACATATTCGTAAGTGATTGTTAGTTGTAGCTTAACTCAATTAACTTTACTTAGACTTTTAGGAGTCTCCTAACGATACATTCTCCCAACCAAGACTGACTGAATAAATTTCAACATAGTCTCAGCACCCTTACCTTGCCAACTGTTCTTACACATCTGTTGGTGTGGAGATTAATGACTGGAAGACAAGATAATACCTCATTAATAGTCCGCACAAACAACTTATGAGCACAGAACTCTTATGCACTATAAAGGATGTGAAGCACAAGTAAAAAAAAATGATGCCGTGGCCAATTGCTTGTGATTTCAATACTCCATAATAAGATAGGTGGAGGTAATAGCTTTTGTTGCATGAATTTCTTCATCAACTACAGCAATGATTTAGGCATTTGCAGAGCTAAACTCAGATACTGTTTAATTCTATTCGGCAACAGAGTTTTGGTGGACAGATATGGCCATAACAGTGCAACCAGCCAGAGAAAGACAAAAGGAAAAACAATTAAAATACTGCAAAGCTGACAGTCACACACCTGGGACACACCTATAAAAACAAAGTGACTCACAAGACAAATAAGCCCTATCATACTAAATACTTGTTATAGAAGATGCTATTCTTACTTAATCCTTATATGAGACTTACCTTTAATACCCAGCATCGTAGCATACAACAGAAAATAACCACTCTCATCGAACACTTGACAAGGAGAAAATGAAAACAATTTCAGTGAATGAAATCACTAACAACGTTAGTGTGCACTTTGAAAACACCACAGGTACTAACACAGCTTTGAACAAATTTACACTCAATACGCATGTACATGGCATCAGCACTACACAACATCAAGTGTCGAGGGTGACTCTTGAAAAATACTACTTTAACATGATATCATCATCATTAGTAAGCCATGAACTACTATTGGCTTTCTAGCTAGTGGTTAGTAACAGCCTTGATTGAACAAGCTATCAAACACAATTTTCAGTTATGGGTACTGTTCACCACTTTAATGTTCAAAAACAATTTTCAAAAGCAGAAGCGGCCATGGACAGCGACAGCCAAAACTAAATTTTCTAAGTTTGTGGTGAGGTGGCTACTGTCAAGTAAGCTTCACACACGTAGGACTCCTTTGAGGGCCACAAAGTCATCAGCACTCTCTTGTTGCTATCAAATGACACCCTTAAATCTAGGTGACAACAATGATGGTAACGCTATTACTACTGCTGCTACTGCAACAGTAACCACTGCAACTGCTTCTGCTTCTTAAGCTACTGCTGCTGCTGTTACTGCTACTACCGCTATTGCAACAACTGCTACTGCTAATGCTACTTCTATTACTACTCTTCATTGACTTTCAAGCTCATTACCTACGTTGGAAAACTTCAAGGAGTTGGTCTTTTCTAAGTCCCTCTCTGTTGCCATTCTCCGGCCAAACTCCATATCAGGAAGCTGTTGTTTTTGCTGAAAGAGATTAAAGTAATTGCTAGAATAAGTACCATGTTTGTGAAGTGCTGCAAGCCTCATTATAACATCAGATGCAGGGGCAGAGCAATAATGTTGGGATGACACACCATAATGAGGAAATACTGATTCCCGAGCAAATAAAAAAGCCCAGGTTTTTTTACACAGTCTAAGTACAGTTTATCCTCTCTATGATCACATCACCTTAGAAACAGAGGGAAGAAACCACACTATAGAAGTGGCCATTATGTGAAGAAAAGAACATTACATACTTTTAATACTTAAGATAGCGCAACAATGTGTGACAATCAATCCAAATATGTTAAAGAAAGAAAATCAAATGCTTAGAACAAAAATGGGAATATAACAAGGCGGATAAAGTACAATGAGTACATAACTTTGTAAACATTATTTGCTTCTTGTGGAGAAGTGTTTTAAGAGAGTGGAACAAATGTCTATGACTGTTAATTGCCATTTATAATAGGTTGTTCGTGTGTTAAGGACAGAAGTGTCTGATTGACTGTCTGCTGTGACAGCAAAAGTAACCATTGTTAATCAGAGGTGTTATAGGTTCTATGTTTGAGGTTCTGAACAAACAGGATGAATGCATCAGATAACAATGAACCTACAGAACCAGTGCGAGTTATATTGCAAATTAAACGATGAATACAGCTTTCTGCCCTCGCTCTTTGCATCCACGGACGTCTGTGATTTGGCCCCAAAGTCCCATCCTGATGATGTAGATTTGTGTGGAATCTGGTCAACGAGCGGTGATTCGTTGACAAAGTAATTAAATTCTTTTAGCTATTGTAAACGGATGACAGAAAAAGATAAAAGGTCAAATAGATCAAATGTAGACACCAAGACTCTACTGAAAAAACAGTCAGTCTTGGTGGAATATTATCTTCTTCTTTACAAGAAGCATTTGAGCTTTGCTGCCGCTCCTTTGCAGAAGAACTCAAAACTTTACGATAAAAAATGAAATTAGAAATTAAAAAAATCGAAAAAATTTAAATCTGGAACCCCATGACTACCAGATTAACTAAGTAAACATTAATTGACGTCATCATTATGGAAGTTTGGGGACCCAATCGTAGACCTCTCTCCTGCAAAACGTCCCTACCAGCGACGTGCAAGGAGAGACGGCTGTGTTCAAAGACTAATTTTATAATTCTGAGTGCAAGATTACAAAGAATAAATTTACTAAGGGCTTGAGCTACGGTGGAAAACCACAGGCTAATGTTGTGAAAAAAAAGGAAACTAAATGCTTTACCAGTGCTGAACAGTTCACTTTCCTAATTGTACAGAGAGAAAATTAAACAATGCGTGCAATCATAAGTTCAGTCTTTCCGAGGCTTCCACTCTCCTAGTGGATCCTCACTGAGGAGGAGAATCTGTAACAGAAAGAGGGTCTGTTTTTTAGCAGGGGAACAGGCACCACTAGCATTAATGTAGAGGAACTGCAGGACACAAGCTCTTTCTTTAGGCACCTCATTTGAAAGCGACTGGAAATTCAAAGGGTTCACTAGTTTTTGTAGGTGGCGACGGTTTCCTCTGAACACTCCACTCCAGTAACTGGCTGGGTACTGTCAAGGTATTGCAGCGAAGTAGGGGTTGTGATCACTTTCTTGATAAAGTCTACTGCTACTGATACAGTCTACTGATGTTGAGTGCTTCAGACAAATTCACTGGTCTTCTTGGTGACACTCCGGAGGTGAGCAGTTGTGAAGGCCAACTGAACAATCCTGAGACATTCCTGCAAGGTTACAAGGCTGGTTGATAGATCCATGGAAAGTAAGGAGTCAAACTTGTGCGAGTCAGTCTGCAAACCATCATCACCAATTATGTGACTGGTGAACGGGATGCCGGCACACTCGAACTTATCCAGGTAAAAGTGCAGGCTGGTGTCACAGGCACATTGCAAGAAAGCATGGAGATTCTCATCATGATCACGGTCATTGCACCCATACACAAAGTTGTCTGCAATCACAGTGACACCAGGTAAATCTCCAAAGGTTTCATCAATCATTCTTTGGAGCATGTCTGGAGCACTGATTAGGCCAAAAGGTAAATGCAGAAATCTGTACCTTCCGAATGGCGAATTAAAGGAGATACACAGCAAACCTCATTTCAGCTTTATGTTCCAGTAACCGCTTAAGGCATCGAGGATTGAGAAACAACTTACATCGCTTAGTTCAGGGAAGATATCTTCCGGGGTGGGGGTAAAATAGCAAGGCCTCCTGATGGCCTTGTACAGGTCCTTATGGTCTAGGTCTAGGCGCTCCGTTGTTCTCAGTGACACAAACAAGGGAGTTAACCACGTCAGTTGGCTTGGTAGCTTATCCTTGCATTCCTTGTGCGACAAGAGAATCAAGTTCCTTCCTCAAAACTTCATTGAGAGTTTCCATAGCACAGCATGGTGGATGCCCGACTGAAGTAACTGAAGGATCAATTGTAACAGGAAATTCACCTTGAAAATAACCAAAGCCTTCAAAGAAATCAACATGCTGTTTAAGGATGTCGTTCTTGGCCACTGGTTCCGGATTACAAATGAGTTCATGAGCAATACAATTCTCCTTGCGGCTCATGGACTCCAGGTTATGCAAATGTTTCTCTGGGCAAAGTTTCTGTTAAGAGGACATTAAATGTTTGGAGCCACCCTTTACTTTGTTGTTTCCTGTTAGGCTTAGATGAGTGACAAACTTTGTTTGCGTATGTCTTGAACTAGAACAGAAAATAAGTGCATCGATGGCGTGATCACCGGGAGTTGCAAAGTGACACTCTCTTTGAGGATTCGAATTTCTTCACAAATGAATCGACGGTCTCATCAGGCTCCAGTCTAAGTTTTTATCTTGCGTATCTAAAATTGCTCCTTGGTAGGTAGTTCTAAAAAGCGTCCACTAGGTGCTAAGCTTCTTTCTGCCCTTGGTAGTCAAGTTCCACTCTTCCGCACCATGACAGGTTCGTTGCCATCATCTTCCCATCAGATTAGAAAATAGCTTACTTTCTCTTCCTCTGATTTCTCTGTTAGTAGTACCAGACAAGTAAAATCTCTTGAACACTTGTGGAGTGTCCGGCAAATGCCAGTCCATGGTTGGGATCGGTAAACCAGCGAGTTCTGTTATCTTGAATTCGATGAGGGGGAAATTTGGTTACCAGAAATAACATTTATCCCAGGCCCAGTTGTTCAAAGGCCAATTCGCGCTAACCGGGGTTAAATATTAACCTGGGTTTCTTTTTCGTTTGCTTGAAACCATTTTCCTGGATAATTTTCTCCATTCTTTTTAGAGTATCCAATCATCCAATTGTAGGCAAAAAGAATAAAACTGAGTTTGCTTTTTAAGCTTTCTTATCTGAATTCAAATTTGGCACTAACCCGGGTTTTCTTAACCCTGCATTGAACAACCTGGCCTGATGAAACTGGAAGCTTGATTTAGTGTTCTCCTGACACTATATTATAGATTCTGAGTTTGTAGTCCCAATTAAACTGGACGAATGTGTAAGATAACAACAATCGTGCAGAACGAGTGCCGTTCTCTTCTAAGAGAGAGCACGTCAAGATTACAAAAAATAAATTTAGAATATGAAAAGGGCCTGGGCTTCGGTGGAAAACCACAGGCCAATAACACTTCAAGAGATGGCCATTAGTAGATGTTCAACTGTAGTTCTAGATGTCCTCACACACTTTATATCCTACCTGCTGCATCTCTGTGAACACTTTCAGTGACTCATCAAAGACTCTTGTCTTTTTTCCAGTTAGGAACCTAAAAACTCTCACCTAAACATTGTAAAAAAAGCATTTTTTAACGAACATTGCACACTTATTGCTCCCAACCTAATTACTGTACACCTATAAATGATGGCTTTGATAACCTGACTATTTCGCAGTTAGCACCACGATACTGCACATAATAATTATGTCTCTAGAGTAACACAAGTCTAACCAATAGAGTACATTAAATAGTGACAAGTCTAGTAAAGAAAACAATCAGTTAATGAACTGAACAGTACTACTAATATACTCCTTAAACGAAAATGTATCTAAAAAGATGGCCATCCAACGGTACAGTACCAACTAAATAAAATTATAAGGCAAAGGCTATGGAACCACTTGAAGCTCTTTCTTCTTCTACCTGGATGGTTAATAATTATCATTCTGGCCCTCTCCATTACAGTCTGTTACTGCTGACACTGCAAGATGGGCGGCAGATAATCACCTGAGCCAGTAAGGTTTATACAGTAATTTCACTTGTTGCCGAGAATCAAAACTATAAATAAAACGTTTACCTAGTAAGACAATATAATATGAAGGAAATGATAAAATAAGGATAAGAATAATACTTCATGACACTCTCCTTAGAAAACCAACTAAATGTGCACTATTATTATACACACCTTCCGATCCGTTGCTAACGTAGCAAACAGTTTTCCATCAGGTGAAAACGACAGGGATACAGGGATAGTCTTACACTGAAAGTAAAGTATCATTAAGATCATTACAGACATCATTGCAGGACCCCATGGATAACAGTACTTGGTACTGAACGGTCATTCTGGATAAATGATCTATTATCACTATCATTTTTTATCATTAGCCAAATGCAAGTTGGAAATGAGTTGAAATTCTGGGCCTTGATAAGACAATAAGCCATGCCATCTCCTCGAAAAAGCATGTGTCTGTGTATAGCTGATTCAATAATGGTTGCTTGGAGCATTGGTAATTGGGCACTGGGAATCTATTGTTTGGTGGTCTCTCAAGCAAATCATTACATTGTTCTGTAAGCTCAAATGCTCATTGCCCAATCGCCAATGACCAATTGCTAAAGCAACTTTTATTGAATTAGGTATATGATTGACTTAAGCTTGTTGTATAGGAAGTATAGTTTATCTGTTACGCAGAAATATAACAATGAAAGTAGTTTTTGATATAACAAAAACCATTAAACAGATGACACCAATACCCCACCAACAATCTGACATAGGAAAAGCGTTAAAAAAACTAGGCTAAACCCAAACAAAAAACCTGTCATACAAGAAAGAAAGCATAGAAAAAACAAACAAACAAAATGATAAGACTGTGTAAACAAACAGAGAAAGCCTGAGACTTGAGAAGGACAAAAGAGGAGAAGAATGGATAGTGAAGCTAACATTTAGCTTTTCTATGATGATTGAAAAGAAAAAGCGTTTAATTTACTTTTTGGAAATGCTGTGCAGCTTCTGCTAACGGTAAGGATTAGAAAAAAAATGAATGGTCATCCTACGATCTGACTGGACAATAACCATTTTGAGCGGACATTGTCAGTTGACCGGCCGTTATTTAAAGGCCTGTAGCAGTAATGATATTTGCAAGCGTTTGCTGAACACATTATGGGCATTTCAATGCGTGCTATAAATTGCATGATACTGTGAAAATAACTTAACTGATGTAAGTTGCACATAAAGAATTTTTCCTCAATGTCATTTAAATTTACCACTTAGTTCACTTACCATAATAAATTCGAACAGATCGGTGTCTGTTTTATATTCAAAATTAACATTCTTGGGAAACTGCACATCATTTTTAAGGCCAGACCAATACTCCACTATGCCAGCCTCATCAGCTGATATGGCCACATCATAAACTGCATTGTACTGCCAAATACAGCCAAAATTAACATTTAGTTGCAGGATTAATTCAACCTCACAAGTTCATGCTGGCAAGTCCAATCTCAATTAAATCAGGGACACCCAACGTCAATTTTTGGAAAATATCTTTTCGGAAGACAACTTATGAGATCTAGAATTTTCGTTGTAAAATTTCTTGCTTGCCTGCCTCTCCTAGGATTTTCTAACATCTAAAAAATGGTATAATTGCTTATTTTTAACGGATTTTTACCCTAAAAACGTCAACTAGAATTTTCGGGAGCCTTTTTTCTGCCTGAAATTTTCGAAAAGATAAGTTTTGATCCCTATAATTTTCGGATAAATAGACTTTCAGCTAGGAAATCCGGACTGATGAAAAATTTTTAGGGATAAATATATGCCTATATCTACCGTTTAAATACTAAAATACGTTCAACAATGCTATGTTTAAGTGGTTTTAAACTATATTCTGGTTGGGTGCCCCTGTTACATGGATGCAGTGTAAAGGTGTTTATTATTCAAGAAGAGAGACAAAGGAAATCACTATTTGCAGTTGATAAAGTCCTACAAAGAATAACCTTTTATGATTATTATTATTATCATAATAATAATAATAATAATAATAATAATAATAATAATGTAACTACAATTATTATTATTATTATTATCAATAGGTAAGTCTTTTGGGGGGGCAGTAAATGGTGATGTTATTCTTTTTCTCATTGCTACTTACAGCACTGAACCCTGACTAAAACTGTTCATAAACTGCCATCTGTGACATAAATAATAGCTCCATAAATGATAGCTCAGTTTCAGCACTAAGTTAAATAACTATGGAACTTAATGATGGTTTGTCAATATCTATGACTCAATCTGGTGCCAGAGCTAAACATCTGGATAATCAAGACTCCACTCTATGTTATGCTCAAGCACAACTTCCATTTTTTTCAGTTGCCTCTGGTCTACATGTAGTAATTGATACCTTGATAAACATGACAGGTTTAGTATGCAGATTTAGGATGTGGAGAGGTGTGCTTGTCCCTCTTCCATCATAAATGTTTATCACTCCTGTCTCCTTTTCTGAGCTGAAATACAATGTGACTATGTTATTAGTTGGTCACTTGGAATTACTATTAGTTTTCTGTCAAAAAAGTTTGGATATTACGGCTACAAATATAAGGAAGAATTGAAGGAAGAAGAAGGTGATTGCAGTACATAAAATTGTCATGATATAACAACAGATTTTAAAGTAAGAGTGAAAAATAATACACTAATTTCAACAGCAACGTTAACTAGTACAAGAATATTCTTTTGGAAAAAAGTAAATATATACAGAATTCAAAAATGGCATCTGCTGACTGCACTGTGGGGAAGAAATCTAACTTTGGTACACGGGAGTTGCAATCAAGACACAATGAAATTTCTTGAGCATACCAAGTGAGCGTGAAGCAATAAATGAGCTCTTCACTGGTTCATCAGGCCAGCAATTATTGCATGGAGAATATTCTATCACACGAAGCCTAAAATGTACTACTGTTTCCCCTGTGTTGAAAAGCACCTGCAAGGATTTCATAAGCCAGTTCAGTGTCCTTCACAACCAATAATCTTTCTACCACCTCCAAGCTCTATGTTTTGTCTTTGATTCAGTCTTAATGTAACATGCACGAAAAGGCAGTTTTACGTGTAGTATTGTAGCATATTTTGACAAGTCACGCTGTATTTTGGTGAGCCCGTAGGGTGAGACAAAATGCAAGGGACAAGCAAAAATATCCCACAATAGGCCTTTTGCAATAGTTGATTACACAATCAACTTTCTGAAAACACAAAAACAGTTCGGTTTTGGACAAGTTTCTTCAAAAAAAGAAACTGGAAAAGCAAGTTAAAATTAGGTGACCTGGAAATTTGTAGCCGCACATCTTAAAAGTAGCGTCTACACTGGCCACAGAAAATTAGAGGGATTTGTATGGGAAAAACAACTTTTGCCACCCAGTCATGGTTGAGTGACTTTCCATAAACGTCTTTGTAAAGTTTCAAAATTTTAAACTGTTGTTAAATCTTTCCCTTACGCATTTAAGGCCTCAAAATATCTGATATGAAAAATAGGAGATTTGAACCCAGTAATGCTTAAGGAAATGTTTTACGACTATTTGAAAACGCAGTAAATGTGCATGTCTATTTAAACAAGAATAGGTAACAGACTAATGTGGCTTACTGAAAAAAAAGTGGTTTACTCTCTTCATCAAATGTAAGTTAGCCAAAGTTAACCTCTAACCAACACTAGCCAGCAGTTTCCCTTTTTCTCCATAGGGCAACCCTTTGCACTTAGCAGGGGCACCTTGTGACCCTTATACACTGTCACTCAGTTGCAGTCCTTTGCAGTGTCTTTTGCTTATGCAGTGTTGGTTGCCTGCTGTTTCAGCTCTATACTGCACAACGAGTCACTGGGCAGGGTGCCCAAAACAGCTGTATGTGAACCCACATGGGGAGTGGCAAGGACTATGGTAGATCTCAGTAAGGGGACAGCAGGAACACTTTCACTGTCAGAGTTTGATGGAATGGAGCTGGACTAATCATGGAAGGGCCCCTGTGGGGACTGAGCCCGTACAGTTGGAGTTACAGGGACGCAACCATACATGGGAATAGTGTGAGATAGTGTGTAATCTTGCTGCGAAACTGGTTGCTTGTAGACTTTGAGATGTAGTAGAAATGGCCTGGCTCTATGCCAACCACGGTATTATTCTCTCAAGCTTTGTCTTTGTCTATAAACACAAGCTCGCCACCAAGGATGGGAGATGCAGAGGCCTAACTAAAGCCAAAGGCCTAGGACTTGGCACTTGGCAAGTGGTTGAGCAGTGGAGAGTAACTTGGCAGTCAGCAATGGATAACTGTTAACTGGTTAAACTCATTGCATTGTGGCCAGAGCACATGGGCGGAGAGTCCATCACGGTGAATGCAAGAATTCATAGTGGCAGTTGCCAAGGTGAGCATAACCTGTGAGACAGTAGCCTTCTCTGGAGATAAAAATGAGGGGTTCCAATCCAAGTTCTTCCATCGCCATTTACCCCAAGGAGTTTTTGTCAGAGTTCTTAGGCCTTGTATCCAGGGTTATGCCATAAGAGGCGAGTACTTTGTCTTTGGTAAGGACAGGAAGCCAGGGGCAGGATCCACACACACGGTCACTCCTCCATCTCACAGGCCAAGTAGCCGAGAGCAAAGGACTATGATATCATTGCTGAGGTCTTCTAGCTTTTACTCGCCACAAATGAAAAGCCAATGAGTGGAAGGGCAATGGAGGTTGAATGTGGTTAAAGATGTTAAGGGATGGTCTTCAAGCAGAGAAAGATGTTACATGAGGAAGATACAGTGTCCACTGGCTGGTTGAGGTCGAGAGCTAAAGAAGACACTTTCTTTGGTATTTAAATCAATAAATGGGTGGCTAAAACGATGAGAATGGCTGATAGAAGGCTGCAAGACTGGAAAGAGGGACAACTACCCGTTTGTGAGGAGGCTGTAAAGGAGGGTGGCCTTGTACAACAAGAAGTGCATCAGCAACAAAGATAACAGCCTAAGAGTAGTGTTTCACGTCTTGGGGGTTTCTTTGAAGGTCAGGTACACTGACTTGGGTATGAATTTGCTCGAGGTGAGGGTACCACAGTTGAGCAGCTTGCCATGCAGCACTGCTAGGAGGGGCATTCTTACAGAGCCATGAGGACTTCACTCACTGAAATGCTGCGCACTATAGAATTTTCCAACTCCACGAGACACATGCAGTTTTGGCAACTAGACTCGAGGCACTCTCATGGGTTTCTGCTTCCAAAGTCAGAAGGAAAATTCTCAACCCCAGCAATAAGGAGCACATAAAAAAGATAGTGGCTGACTGTTAACAGAAAGGTAGTGGCTCTGGAACTAGTGGAGAACTCCTCTCTCTTGAGCTTCTCATTGGCATGGACACAAGGACTACTAACTGTAAGAACTACCATCAGATGAGAAGACTGGATGACATGAACATGTTGAATGATATGTTGAATTGCCATACCTATTGTTGTGAACATTTTTATATAATTTTTGTTAATTTATTGATGTCTGCGTAATATTGTAGTCACGTGATCTTATTGCACCATCAAGTAACCCGAGACGCGGGAATATTTTTGTCAGTAAGCAATTTCGATTTCGACTATTAAACATGATCAGTTGTGTTTACTAAATGGCGCCCAACGTGGGGCAGATTTTCGATCGCAATGCCTCCCAAAAAGGGTAAACCGAAGTAAAAAACACACGAGATATCAAGTACATCGAGTATGCAAGCGAATACATCGAATTTGGAACGACTGCGAGTTATACGTGAAGGACACCGACGATATGTATCGAAACTGGATCAAGAATTCACCGAAATGTTGCAAAGCGAAGACAAGGATTACGAACGGCTCAATGTTATGAGACAACTCTTGGATGGAAAACAAGAGTCGCTTAGCGAAATGGACCAAGAGGTATTATCTTTATGCGAAGTTACAACGATTGATAAAGAAATCGAAGAGTCAGAAGAATTTACTGCCTCAATTATACGTCTAAAACGCAAAATCGAGAATGCGAGCAAGGTGAACATGCCAACCCAGCAACACTTGGGATCTCCTCAAACGACATCACAGCCAGTGAATCAAAATGCAGTCCGTGCAAGATTACCGAAGTTGTACCTGCCGAAGTTTAGAGGAGATGTGACCAAGTGGAATACCTTCTGGGATTCATTTCAATCGGCGGTTCATCGTAACGAAGGGATTTCCAACATCGACAAGTTCAACTACCTCAATTCTGTCCTTGAAGGGGCCGCCGCTCGAGCTATTCAGGGTCTTACCTTAACCGAAGCGAACTACAACGCAGCAGTCAAATTATTACAAGAACGTTTCGGGCGTCCCCAACAAATCATCAGCGCACATATGGATCAGCTTCTCAAGGTTTCGCCGTGTTCTAATGATCGCCCAGCCAGTCTTCGATACGTCTACGATCAAATTTGTGTTCATTCCCGCGGTTTGGCATCGCTCGGCGTAACTTCAGATCAATATGGAAGTCTCCTAATTCCTGTTATTATGTCAAAGTTGCCATCTGAGATTCGATTGCAGATAGCCAGGAACTCTAAGGATTCTGTATGGAAAATGGAGGAGTTGCTAAACGTGATGAAGGTTGAAGTCGAAGCGCGGGAAGCAAGCGAGATGACCATGGCGAAAACAAGCGAAGGCGGGAAAGTTCAACCACCCGGCCGTGATTCAAAGTTTCGAAATCAAACGCCAACCGCGAATTCACTCGTCTCTCAGCAAGGTGGGAACTTCAAAATCAAATGTGCCTATTGTCAAAACGAGCATTACTCTGCATCATGTGGTGTGTTAAAAGATACCGCTCAACGAAGAAGTATTTTGGAAAGGTATAAACGATGCTTCAATTGTTTGCGTTTTGATCACTGTGCGAAAGACTGCACGAATCCCAAAAAATGCCGACACTGCCAGCAGCGGCATCATCAGTCGATTTGTTCAATGCTTGACCAAGGGAAACCGAAACCAAAAGAAGTTTCAGCCGAAGAGACAACGACAACAACAACAGTGAGCAACAAGGCAAAGGGAACTGTGCTCTTACAAACAGCGAAAGCCATGGCTGTCAATGTTGTCAGTTCTAAAGCCGCACCAGTTAGAATACTTTTGGATACCGGAAGTCAACGCACCTACATCACAACCAGATTAAAATCGAGGCTTAATCTGTCCCCTGTCAAGTCAGAAACATTGCATCTTAACACCTTTGGAGACGAAAGATATACGAAGCAACAATGTGATGTTGTGAACTTGCGGTTGCAAGGATCTCAAGGAGAAATCAAGATATCTGCACTATGTTTCCCGAAGATTTGCTCGGCGGTGTCAGCTAAAGTTAACATCGACAACCACGTACATCTGCAAGGTCTCGAGCTTGCTGACATGAGCATTGCTGAAACAGGTAAACAGGACATAGATGTGATAATTGGATCTGATTATTATTTCGATATTGTGTCTGGGGATGTCATTCGTGGCTGCAGTGGTCCCGTAGCAGTTAGCAGCATGTTCGGATGGGTCTTGTCTGGTCCCACAAGTGCTGAAGAATCAAGAGAGAAGTTTGCAACTACAAATCTCATCATAGAGAGGCCGGAATTGATGACCTTGAGCCCATTTGACATCAGTCATAGTGAGAACGATGAGTTATGTAATGCCTTGCAGAAATTCTGGGACATTGAGTCGTTAGGAGTACGAGAGAAGCCACCCGTGTCACAGTCAGATGGTGGAGAGTTCCTGGAGAGTATTCATTTCAATGAGAATGAAGGAAGATACGAAGTTGGTCTGCCTTGGAAGGAAGGCCTTGTTCCTGCTTCAAACGAGTACGAATTGTGTGTTACAAGATTGAGACAGCTTCACTCGCGACTGAAGAAAACAAGGAACTATTGAGAGATTATGACAATGTGATCAAGGATCAAGTCAAATCCGGGATAATCGAAGCCGTACCAGAACACAACTACGACCAAGCTCCAATGCATTTCTTACCTCATCATGGCGTAATTCGGTCGAACCGGGAAACTACAAAATTGAGAGTTGTATTTGATGGTTCAGCCAAATCTGACAAGTCAACTGCTTCAATTAACGAGTGTTTAGAGAAAGGACCGAACTTAGTGCCACACCTATTTGATATTGTGGTTAAGTTTCGAGGGTATCCAATTGCTGTAGTAGCTGACATCGAAAAGGCCTTCCATCAGATACAGATCAACCCAGAAGACAGAAGTATGCTGAGGTTTCTATGGTTCGATGACATTGAGAAAGATCGTCCGCAAATCAAGCAATGCCAGTTTCGAAGGCTTGTGTTTGGCTTAACTCCAAGTCCAGCTATCCTGGCAAGTACCATAAAACTCCATCTGTCCAAGTACAAAGAAAAGGAACCAGAAGTAACATCTTTGTTAAGTTCCAGCTTCTATGTTGATGATCTGGCAGGAGGAGTGTTTCGCGAGAATGAAACTGTGAACTTGTACGACAAAGCAGAGGAAATCATGAAAGATGGAGGATTCTCACTGCGTAAGTGGAATTCTAACTGTCAGTCCTTCCGCGAAAAAATCAAGCAGGATGAAGAAAGAAGAGGACCGTCAGTTTGGGAATCCCCTCCCAAAGAAAGTGAAAGTACACAAAATCTCAAGAAAGAAGAGTCATCTAGTGCCAAAGATGATAAACTGGAAACAGAGCAATTGGTGAAGATTCTCGGGATTTACTGGGATGTCATTCGAGATGAATTTCGCTATGACCTCTCTGAGTTGATTGAGTACGCAGAAGCCCTTCCAGCTACCAAACGATGTGTTTTGAAACTGTCAGCCAAAATCTTTGATCTGATCGGACTGTTAACTCCATTTACAATAAGCATGAAAGTCCTTTTTCAAGATTTATGTGTTGAGAGGGTCAATTGGGATGAAAACTTGGAAGGAGAAGCTTTAGCGAAGTGGAAAACGTTCATTAATGACCTAAATGCTCTGAGGAACATTCGAGTTCCCCGATGTTATGCCAATTACTCACCAGCGCAGTCAGCAGTATGCTCCTATCAGATCCATGGATTTTCAGATGCGTCGAAAAGAGCCTATGCAGCTGTTGTCCCACAGGGAGTAGTCCCACAGGGTAGTATTCTCGGTCCTTTGTTCTTCTTAATCTATATAAACGATCTTCCAAACTGCCTTAATTCAGCATGCGCTAAAATGTTCGCAGATGATACAACTATTACCATTTCTGGTTCCTCTCTAGCTGACCTTGAACAAGAGACTAACTTAGAACTACTGAACCTTCACTGTTGGCTAAAAGCCAATAAGCTTAGTCTTAATGTTGCGAAAACCGAGTTTATGGTTATTGGCTCTCGCCAGAAGCTTCTCGCGGAAAGCCATAACGAAATAAACATCAAACTAGAAGACCAAGTTATCAGCAATGTTGATCACGCAAAATCATTAGGTCTCATTATTGACAATCGGCTTTCCTGGTCTAATCATGTTAACGAATTGTGTAAGAAGGTAACTTCGGCTATAGGTGCCCTTAGACGTATTAGGCCCCTTATCTCCCAATCTACTGCGGTACTAGTCTATAACTCCTTAATTCAACCTCACTTTGATTACTGTAGCCTTGTTTGGGATGGCTTAAGTGATCAACTGAGTGACAAATTACAAAAGTTACAGAACCGTGCAGCTAGAGTAATTTTAAAGGCCAACTATGGGACTAGCTCGAGCCTGCTTCTTGATATACTCAAATGGGACAAATTAGTTATAAGGAGAAAGAAGCATAAAGCAATAATGATGTTTAAATCTCTAAATGCACAAGCTCCAGTGTACTTGCAGAACCTATTTCACGAACGAAGCACAGACTATGATTTGCGCAATTCCTTTCATAAATTGACGTTGCCCAGGCCGCGTACTAACTACTTGAAACGAAGTTTCAGTTACAGCGGTGCTTTGTTGTGGAACTCTTTACCCGAAAATGTGAGAGAAACTAAATCAGTCAGGAAATTTAAAGAGCAAATCAAACATGTATTTGAGTCGTCGGACTCTCACTCGGCAGTCTTGTAAAACAGTATGTCGATAGTTTTTAGTCTAATTAATTGTGATTAGATTTTTACTCTATTATTACTGAAGATTTTACCGAGTTTTGAATAAATAATCTAAATAATCTTGTGTACCTGAGAACCGCATTCAGCAATGGTGAAATCCAAGTCAACATCATGACATCCAAGACGAGAGTAGCGCCGAGTAAACGTCAGTCAATTCCCAGGTTGGAACTGCTAGGAGCTGCATTGCTAGCCCAACTAGTTCACTCAACGCAGCAAACGTTACAATCCGTTCTTCCAATTGAAGGAACATTTTTGTGGACCGATTCATTCACCACGCTGTGTTGGATAAAAAATGCCAAAGCATGGAAACCTTACATACAACACCGGGTCAGCAGGATACGAGAACTAACTAACGAAGCCAACTGGAATTTCTGTCCCGGGGAGTTGAACCCCGCTGATCTACCATCACGACGATGTGGAGGAGAGCAATTAGCACAAAACCAGACATGGTGGAATGGGCCCAAGTTTCTGAAGTTAGTGAGAGAACATTGGCCTGAGTCGCCCCAAACAAGTGCTTTGTCTGATGACGAAGAAGCCCTTCAAGAAGTTCTAAAAAGCCCTGTGAGTGTCACGCACTCTCTGGTCACGACAGAGTCAGAAGACCATTCAATCAATCTCAGTCAAGTCATTGACATTGAACGATACTGCAGTGTAACACGATTATTCCGCGTGACAGCCTACCTATTACGGTTCATAGGTAATGCGAAGAACAGTGTATCAAACCGTGAAACTCACAAGCTACCAGAACATTCGTCAAAAAGGGAACTTAATGCTCAAGAGTTAAATCAAGCTGAAATGCTGTGGATCAAGACTGTACAGAAAGCCTCATTTGCCAAAGAACTCGAATTTCTTCAAAGCAAAAGGGGAACATTTCCACCCGTCTATGTCACGCAATTCAACTTGTTCCTTGACAACCAACAAATCATCAGATGCAAGGGGAGAGTAAACAATGCACCGCTCTCTGAAGAAAGCAAGAATCCAATCTTACTTCCGTCTAAACACCCACTAACTAGTCTCATCATCCAGGATGTGCACTCCAAGATTAAACACAGTGGTATCAAGGACACCTTAACCACTATTCGAGGACGATTTTGGGAACGGATGGTTAAAGTTGTGAAGCAACCATTGAAGAAAACAGTGGGACGCTCTACGTTAAACTATGATGAGCTACAAACCACAATGGTGGAGATCGAAGCAATCGTAAATGTACGACCGTTAACATATGTCTATGATGACGAAGAGTCAGTTTCCACTCCACTTACGCCATCTCATCTAATTACTGGTAGACGAATTACTAGTGCACCAAGTAACCAGCATTTCGAAGTTGTTAGTGTTAATCAGACCTTGACAAAGAGAGCTAAGCATCACCAACGATAACTGCATCAGTTCACCAAGAGATGGCAGCACGAGTATCTTTTGAGTCTACGAGAGCGCTCTAATGAGAGATGTAAGAAGCAAAACAAGGAAAGCCCAATCTCAGTAGGTGACATTGTGATCGTGAAGTCTGATCTGACGAAAAGAACATTTTGGAAACTGGCAAAGGTTCAAGAACTGTTACCGGGTAGAGATGGTCAGATTCGATCAGCAAAGGTCAAGGTTGCTGGCAAAGGGGATCGAAAGCCACAAGTATTACGTAGAGTGATACAGGACTTAATTCCTGTTGAAGTTTCTGAGTGAACATTGAACTGAACTGTACCTGAGATGAATTCAAAATTGTGTCTTTTCAAACAGTGAACTTTGTAGACGGCGAAGCTCTTTTGACATTTATTGAATAGTGGACATTCAAGATTTATACTGTTGAGTCAAAGCGTTTTATCACGAAGTCGTGATGCAACCCTGGGGAGTGTTGTGAACATTTTTATATAATTTATGTTAATTTATTGATGTCTACGTAATATTGTAGTCACGTGATCTTATTTGCATCATCAAGTAACCCGAGACGCGGGAATATTTTTGTCAGTAAGCAATTTCGATTTCGACTATTAAACATGATCAGTTGTGTTTACTAAACCTATGGCCAGGGCTTTAATCTCACATGGTAGCCAGGTCACTTGATGTTTGCATAGCTTTACAGCGAAGAACCCAACCAATAGCAGTTGGTTATTTGGTGTACATACAGTGTGACTGCGATGCCTCTGTTGCTCACGGAGTCATTAGTTAAGATCCACAAAGCATCACCAGGCTGGGGAATCGTGATAAACTTGTGGCCCTCCAAGGCATGTTTGGCGGTCTTGAAAGCCAGGAGTAGCCTGCAAGAGCACACAAGTCTTTCTCTGGATTCGGTTCCTGTGGCGGCTTGATCTAGGGGGTCCAGCAGCTCTGTTTACCTAGGGAGTGCCTAGTTGAGCACCTTGCAAGCTCAAACAGAAGACCACAGGAGGTAATGGTCATCAGCTACCACTGCTTTGGAGCTCTGGGAGTGGCAGGCATTGTGATTTTATGCAAGACGTTTCAACAAGCGCACAGTGATCAGTCAGTCTTCTTACTTTGTTTGGAGAAGGAGACAACAATTGTGTTAAGGTAGGCGGGTAAAAACCATTGCTGATAAACTGTGTCTCAAACGACAGACAAGACTGCATGGAGTAAGCAAACCACTAGTGCACATGCACATGTAAGATACAGCTGACTTTAATATGACAACAATAAAGTGGCGCAAGTTTTTGCAAGCACATGGCTACAATAAAACTAGTCCATTGGTCAACCACGAGATCCCATCCTTTTAATTAACATCTTGCTGGGGAGTTTATGCGTACCCTGCCTGGTGGACGTTTGAGCATGTTGCCTTAATCATCGGGTGTTCTGCAATCCAAATCACCTGCCAGTGGTGGAATAGTAGTCACTGTTCAGCCCAATTTGCCTTGTCCCAGTTCGCCCATCATGGCAATACCTGTTGGAGTTTGTATAGCACCTGAAAGTGTCCCTGTCATTCTGAGAACACGAGAAAAAATGACCACAAACACCTTTATCTTTCTTTTACCTCCACTCCTCCAGTCACAAATACGTGGGTCTGTTGATTTCCCTGGCAGTCTGCTTTCCAAGTGGTTTGTCTCCCTGAGGCCAAATTGAAAGTCTCCATGGAGCGCTTTCACTCCCGGCTTCAGTATCGCTGGTAGCCTGATAAAATAGTGCCTCTGAATAGTTGAAAATTTGCTTCATCCAATCCGAAGAACCACCCAGATCTGGGTAGTAACACGTCATCAGTAGGGAATTTCTTCGCTCCTTTCTTTCATGGGAAAACCAGTGGTGTCATTGCAAAAGGTCAGCTGTTTTCTCAGGCTACGTCGCTGGCGAAGAAACAGTTGACGTGACTTCCTCATTGTTCATTTTCACAGAGCTCAAAATTGGGACTCGCTCGTCGCCAATGTGATTAAAATTTGGGTTCTGAAGACTACATTTTAAGACCTGGTCACCAGTTGGCCTGTCATCTTCTGTTTCAATAAGATACCCCTTGTCTAGGATCTCTAATTAATGTAGCAATGCATCTCCCAGCGGTAAAACAATAAGCTCTCTGCGTCGTCCAGCAACTCAAACCCCACCAGACAAATTACACTTCGTTAGAGGTACGCGTAGATAAGGCAAGACTTAGAATGTACACATTTTAACGTATTTGGGTTTGCTCCTATTATGATGCTAGACTTAACCGTTTTCTTACGTTCTCCTTACAGGTCTCCGTAGCTGGCTAGTGCCACTGTAAAGTCTTGTCTTCTTAATGTTTCCCGTACATCGTTTGTCCAATGTCTTCTTATGTACCTTCTTTGTTAGATCTAATGGTGTTAGTTTCTTGTCTTCTATGTTCACCTTAATATTAGTTAATTCATCGCACGATATTAGGCCAAAGTCGTACACTAGTTTGTCAGTTGTAAGGTGTTGATAGTGTCTTACTTTTGATTTCTCAAGTCTAGCCTTCTGACAATTAGTCTAGTATTTTTTATGACAGAGTATTTTTTAGGTTTCTTCATGTTGCAGTTTGCTCTTGTGTTGAGCCTTGTGCGAATGAACATACAGGCAAACATTAAAAAAGCGAAGTGTAAAATCGTACAAAGGAAACTGATCAAACAAACTGTTGGACACATCGAACATCAAGTAAGAAGTACTTTAGGATTTGGCAAAGAAGTAAAGCTAAATTTAGGGACAATGCCTGGAAAAGTCCCCATGGTGTATGAAGATTTCAGTCTGAAAAAGTCTTTAAAAAAATTTTACAAGTACTTCAGGAAACGAATAAATAAAGGAGCTTCGTCAGTGTACTAGAATTTTCTTTCGACAAATCTGCCATACTGCCTTGACGCCATGCTGAAACTGGTGACCAAAGAATGAAAAAGTTAATTTCAAGCCCTGTTTCATCATGCTATGAAAGCAGTTTAGCTTCTCCTAGCCTTTTGACTACTTACATAACAAAGACTATACCATCAACATTACCCACGAGTTTTGTCTTGATCTGCAGCAGTGGTAATGGTTTCTTTCCTCTTAGCACGTTGTAGGGGTCTGGTTGTGTCCTGACATGTTTGCTGCCATAGACCTGGAAGTCACCTCGGACACCACTGGCTCACTGGACTTTGGTGCTTATTTGTGAAGGCAGCGGTTTTATGGCCCCTGGTCACTAATGCAGGCCCAGCAATCTATTGCATACTACATCCGGGAGACCTAAGTGACCTAGGAAGCATGTCTGTCCTTTTTTGCTCAGATAATAGGGAGATTTAGAGCCACGGTCACAGCAAAAGGCAAAGGCTTTCCCTTAGGTTGTGCTTTAATGTTTTTTACTTCTACCCCCACATTAGTAGCTTTACGTTAGGTTTGTCTATAATAACTGCTTTGAACCATTTTTAGCTGCACGTTTTCTGTTTTGAGAATTCTAAACTTGAGTCTGACGTTTGCCACAAATGTCACTCCAAATCTTTCTAATGAGGCCATAGTTGCTATTTTGGCACCTTCTAATCACTGATAGGTCCTCTCATTGGTCCCTCATAGGCCATTGGACCTCAACTTGTACAACCACCGCATATTCTGGGTGGCATGAATGTGTTATTTTGGTTTTCGCCTCTCTTTAAAAGTTACTGTCCCCATCTTAGCTAAATGCAGCTTTTCTCTAGCTATTCATCTGTTGATTTCTGACATTGGAGTGGATTTGACTTGCCGGCCTCCTCAAGTGTTTAGCTTGAGGTCTCTCGTTTTTGGCCTCGGCAGTTATTCACTTTCGTTGAACCAGTTGTGGACTTGTGATCAGGACCTTGGGTGAAGAGAGTTACTGCCTTAGTGCAAACATGCTCTGTTGTTGATGTTGCTCTTGAGCAGTCAGCTGTTGTCCTCCAGCAAGTGCGTCCAGGCTTGTGCTGTGCTATTGTGTGATTGTGCAGCTTTTTTTTGCATGGTCCCAGTTCACCGTATTTTCTGGCCCCTCCTTGTCAAGTTCCATAGGAGTTTGAGGTTTGGGTGCGGGTTGCTTGCATGCCTCGTTCTCTTGCTAGGGCATTGCCTTTCTCCACCATGCTTGTAGGCAACAACACCCAAGGTCATCCACTGGTGACAAGTTTAAATGTTTCTAAGTGCAATTCGGGCAACGCTTGCCAGTGGCTTCCCTACCTCCATTGCAAGGGGTGGCCCTTTTGCCTTTTCACACGGTATGAAGTCGCTTGCTTGCAGTTCTTCACGAACTATACTTTTGCTTTGGGAGTGTTGACTACCTGCCGTTTTAGTCATGTTTTATCCCAAACTCTTCCTCCTTCGTGCATGAAGGACTGGTTAGTATTGGTCTGCAAGTATTCCACTGAGCAGTTCGGCGAGACGACGCCTGGTAGACGCCACTTACAGGCTGGCCTTGGATACCTCCTCCATCATGCTAGAGATTGTCTGGCTTCCCTTTTTATGCAGTTTGTGTGCACACAAGCAAA